TGGTGAGCGAGCAGATCGGCCTCTGCAAGGGAGCCGAGGCACATCGAGGCACTGTCTCTACACCTGGGCCCCTCCTAGCACCCGAAATGCTAAGCAAGATGCCAAAGCAGAACCCAACAAGGCCCGACCCCGGCGTGCACACTGGCTGCTTTTCTTCCTACATCTCTCAACGCCCCATCTGGCCAAGCCACGGTGAGGCCGCGATCTTGGTCGCCCATGGTACCTCAACGAGATGCATACATGTTTTTCACATTCCTCTCTTCTCGGCGACGCCACGACAAAGTCTTTTCTGCACAGGGTGATAGGGTACATCACATTGAGAACCGTCTGTATCTTTGTCTAAAACATGGATACAAGTCCAAGATATCCACTAAACATGTTTGTCAAAAATCACCTCGCGCGGCTATGGCCTTCGACCCAGGCCATGATGTCTGCTACGCCTTCGACCCAGGCCACAGGCAGACTCTTGTCATTGCCTTCCCTGCATTTCCCTGCTTAAATAGCCAGCTTCGACACCTTGATCCCAGTGTCCGCTTTGCCCCTGGGGCTGACGATGCTGCTCCAGGCGCGCGCGTCGCTTCTTTTTAAGCGGCGTCGAGAGATCAAGTCATCGGGCATCTTGGACTTGATTGAAGTCTCTTGCTTCTTTCTTGGACTTGACTGGGATCTCTGGCTTCACTTTAACACTGGACTTGCTTGTTGGGTATGTCGTCGTACAACTGTAAAGTTAGCTTGCGTTAAGACTTGTTTGTGAAGTTATGATTTCAAGTTAGAGTGTCTTCTGGTCGTATGGTACGATGTCTACAGCCCTCCTCATCAGCGTACGAAAGTCTGGATCGTGGTCACTGCTTGGCACCCACTTCATCAATAGATTTCCTACCAGTCGCCAACTACTGGACCCCGCCCCAGAGCCAAGGCAAGCTCGAGGCCTGGCGTGACTCAGGGGCGTGGTCCAGCAATTGCCGACTTGCAGGAAATCTGCTGATGAAGTGGGTGCCAAGCAGTGACCGAAGCCTGCCATCGTCCGAAATGTTCTGGGTGACATCCACGACCTTCACGTCTAGTCCCACCCAGGCTCCGCCTGGGGAGCTGGTCTGGGCGCAGCTCATACTTGTGGACTTGCCGCCGGATCACTCGACGCGTCAAGAAAAGATTTGTGGCTACGCCGGTCGACATGGAAGTGTGGGGGATGTCGCACTTGCCCTTGCTAGCTAGACACTCGCTTATGCTGTGGCTCTCTGCGCTCCGATTCCAAAAGGAGAGGCGACCACCTCTCCTTTTCAAGGAGCTGGCATCCAGGACACAGAACGTGCGTAGAGCCGAATCCCGCAACTGCAAGCCTACTGATTCGAGGCTTCTGTTCTTCACGCCAGTGATACGGTCACATTTCAGGTTCAAGATGGCATCGGGTTGCTACACAGACACGGAGCCACGGAGGACGTGTCTTTCGCCGACAGTTTGGGAAACGACTTGCAGATCCTGGGTTCCGCTTTGCCACGATTCTCATCGTAGGCTCTGCAGCTTTCATGGGCCTGGCTGCAGCTACCTGATTTGGACTTCGCCCTGAAAAGCGCTGGCAAAGTGAGTTTCGGGGACCGTACAAACCGTGATCTCTAGTACCTCAACGAGCTGCCCTTTCTTTTGGACTGTCGGCTCCATCCGAAAAAGGCAAATGCAAGCCAAGCTGCCGGTGTGGCAGTGCATTGCAGGGACGTGAACCATCGGAACGGCTGTGTAGAGAGCACAGTAGGCCAGGGAGATCTCGTTGGACCCGGTGTAAGGACAGGTCCTGTGCGGATTTGAGCACGACGTGAGCTCCTGACCATAACGATGGTTACGATAACTAGGCCTGGTCCTACGTGAGTTGAAAACCAATAACCCCAACGAACCACTCCCTGCAATCTCGCGTCTTGCAGGAAGCATGCGGCGCCAGCTGCTCGAAAGCTTCACGGCTGAGGATGGCGGCGCCCGCGCTGAGGCAGGGCCGGTCGAAGTCGTAGACCTCGAGGGCTTTGGAGTGCGCGTGCACACACACCCGCCCGCCCGCCCGCGCACCCACCCACACCGCGGCACACGTTTTGGGCAAACCTGTCCCCTAAACCCTCCCCCACGCAAACTGCTATTTCATGCTATTTCTGCGCCCTTTGAACTCCAACTTTCCAAGAAGTCTTCTTCTGACCATCAGGCCTCGGTGTCTGACAGCACCTGGGCTGTAGCTCGGGTTGTGGGGGCTTGTTCACAATGTCTTCTCAAATTCAGTCAATCGAGTCTCGGGCTTCTTAAGTCTGGCAGCCGGTCTCGGTGCAGCCCGGGGGCGTGTGTGAACATCACGGGGTGCCTGTCCGTAGACCCGTGCCCAGCCAGGAAGTAGTAGAGCCGCGCGAGGTTGATGTAAACGTCGTCTTCCAGAAGCACGATCCAGCGCGTGTCGGGAGGGAGGCCGCCAGGCTGCTGCAGGGTGCGGACCTGGTTCATCCAGATCATCAGACCTTAGCCCCGATGCAGGGTCAAAATAGTCAAGGAGCTGGGGGTTTCGGGGTCCGGCTACAAGCCACCCCGAAGAATGCTGACAACATGTGTAGGCGCAAGGCGAGACACGGCCACGGCATCCTTGTGTCCTAGGTTGCAGGACTGTGAAAGTATGATACATTGCTGATATGGTCGCCGCAGCTAGCAGTCGTTCTCTGGCGTTCTGGCCGAGACTCGCCGCGGCTCGGGCGCACCATCGTTCATCACGACCTCGCGATGTTCCCCCATAACTTTAGGAGCAAAGGCCTCATGGATGGGGAACTTGGTGCCATGCGAGGCAGAGGTTAGGTCCCACAACCCGCGCGCCTGGCAGCTCATCGGCAGACCTGCTAAGCTTGCAGCGGCTGCCACCAACGTCATGTCGAATCCCTTTCTAGATACCCCCTTATAAAAGACTTCAAGGGCAATCTCCCGACGTCCCTGCTTCCCTACTGACAACCAGTAAGTTCCACAAACACTGAACTTCTAGAGCCCCGGCACCCCCGAACCCTGGGCCTGGTATCAACCCATCCACCAAATAGATCCGGTTGGCGGCCTCGGGTCAACAACCCTCCCTGCCAGGCCAGGCCGCCCTCGTTTCTTGGAGGGGTTTGGGGTTTGTAGGGTTAGGGGAAACCCAAAAAGCCTCAAGGGGCCTGAACCCCACAAAGCCTGTGGGAAGCTCACTTAAGAAGAGCTCGGGCGGCCAGGAGGCCGCATGCATCCAGGTCCGCTCCATGCGAATCGCGAACTCGGCCCTGGCGCAACGCAGGCTCCGAAAGATGAAGCACATTGTTTGATACGATTATCGTATGATATGTTGTATGTATATAGTATATGTCTAAAATACTATACGATAATATAGTCTAGTATGTTAGTATGATCCCATGTGTATACTTGACATGGCATTTCAGATCACATGTTCACATGCATACACTCTTCTCTACTCCTTGGCCGGTCCAAACTTTGTAGGGTAGCTTGTTCCGCCGCTTGAATGCCAAAGGTGAACCATAACTTGAAGCTCTCAAGGCTACAGTCGGGCTTGACAGGGAGGAAGTGCTGGAGGGTGCGACAAGCCATTGCCTTAACTCCCAAACCCCCGAACCCTGAACTCCATGCAGCCATTTCACAAAGGAAAACCCTATCCCTAATAGCCCAAGACCCTCACAAAGCGCCGGACCCCGAACCCAACAGTCCTCTCCAAGGAGGCCACGGCCACGAAGTAGATGTGCCGCATGCCCAGGTCCTGGCTAAAATGACGCTCTCGAATCTTACGGCTTGGGCTCAGGGGGGGCTTGAATGATGGCAACTGCTGGCTCCGTTTCCACAGAAGGAACGGCGCAACTTACCGGGAGCACGCAAGGCTACGAGGCTCACACGCACGCATGCAACGGAACATCGCTCACTTCAGACCTTCACGAATTCGTCCTAAAACCCTCTGCTGGTGCCCTCCTGCTCCACGTGCAAGGGCGCTCCAAGCCACTGCTGCTGCACCAGATTCACATAGTCCCGCAAAGACCAGAAGCCTTGATGGCCCAGGGCGGCTTAGGGCTAAAAGCTTTTTAAGCTTTTAGGGCAGTGTAGGGCTGCCGCGAAGCTTGAACAGCTTCAGGCTCTTTGACCCCTCAGCTTCAGTTGGGGCTTTGGGGGGGTGGGGCTCAACGGGGTTGGGAGTTTAGGGCTGGGAGCTCCTCAACATCCCGCCCTCTTAGGAAGCTTCTTGCCATCCCCGATGCGCTCAAGCCTGGCCGCAGCACTCCAGAAGCAGCTCCTGCCATGCGAGCACACGCACAAAGCCGGGCTCAGGGCTCGGGATCTAGGACTTTGCATGTCACATGTCCCAGACAGTTATGTCCCAGAGAGTTGGGCTTAGGGTCTTAAGATGCTTCCCTTCTGACCTGGGCCCTGGTACACCCAAAACCCAACCCTCAACAGGCCTACCTTGAAGCCTTAAACCCCCGGTGAAGCTACCGAGGTTTACGAAAATAGGGACCCCCTACTGTAATATAGATCCCCAAAAATGGGATTCCGTAAGAAGGTGCCCCTAAATCCCCACTGCATTCTACTGTGTATCGTCCCACCTGTTCTGCTCGGCGGAGTGGCCAGAGCGGCCGGTGGCCAGCGTCAGGGACACCAGCAGCCAATGCCCGCAAGGAGTCATGCTTGGGGTGCATTAGGTAGGGTTTAGGGTGTAGGGTTCAGGGTTCCGGGTTTAGGGTTTAGGGTTTACATCAGGAAGAGGGTCGAGGAGCTGGGGGAACAGGGTTTTGGGGTTGAGGGCTCAGGGGTTTTAGGGTCTGGGGTGTGTCTAAGTTGCAGTGGGCTCAGGATGGTTCAGATCGCGGATTCGGGGAACCTCAGCCTGCTGAGCCTTGAATCCAAGCCTCAGGACTTCTCGACACAGGCCGTCCGCGAAGGCTTCTCACAACGCAGTACAAGGCGGCTGGAGCGCATGCCTGCCCTGCCCCCCACGCAGAAGCCGAGGCTGCGGCGTGTCCGGCGCCATCACGGACACCTTGGTGCCCGGTCACAAGGCCCCCCTCAGCCCTGAACCCTCTAACGCCCATCAAGCCTAGAGGCCTAGTATACACCCTATACCTGCCGAGAACATCGTAGAAGCGTATGAGGAGCTGCAAGCAAAGGAACTCTCAGGTGCACTTGGCCCCGGACCGAACAACCACATGTGGCAAGCACCAAGAGTCACTGTAGTACTATGTGAGTTGGGGTTAGGTTGTTGCACCTCTGACGAGGGCATGCGCACGATTGAAGAAGTGCTGGGTGCTGGATTCAGACTCGCAGTTACTTATCGAACGTTGGGCCGAGAAGATACCGTCAAGGCATCCATGCACTGCCCCTGAAGGACCAGAAGCTGTCTGAAAGCACCCCAAACCCTTACGAAATAAGCAAAGTCCCTCCACGAAGGCCGGAGTGAATTTTCGTGAACTTTCGTGCTACCCACTCAGTGCCTTGATGAACCTCCGCAGTTCACAGCCACTGCAATGACATCTTTCCAGCAGTTCAACGTGCCCCTGCCTCGCGCATCCCTGGCCGGTGATAGACCCACACAGCCCCCTCCCGGCAAAACGAACCGGCAGAAGCTTCAGAGGGCTTTAGAGACTTGGCTATGCTCCCCTTAGAACCTTAATAAACAATATTATTCTTAGTATCCTCTTGGGTTTAGTATAAAAAAACAAAGATACAAAATTAATTCCCCAAGGGGGATAGAGCTGGAGATGACGAAGCGATGGCTAAGCCTAAGCCTCCAACACAAACCCCGTCGGGGGGATGCAGGGCAGCTGCGGAAAATCCATCGCGGGCGCGCGAGCTTCCGGGCAGGTCCAGCTCAAGGGCCCAGCAAGGTGCGGTTTAGGGTTTAGGGTTTAGGGTTTAGGGTTTAGGGCTTAGGGCTTAGGGCTTAGGGTTTAGGGTTTAGGGTTTAGGGTTTAGGGTTTAGATGGACCTGATGAGCCCCTGAACACACGGACCGCCCACTACTTTGGCTGAGCTCTGCCCCCGTGGTGTGTGTGAAACAGAAGCATTTACCGTTAAACACGGATCCTGGCTCAGGGCAGCTATCAGAACATCTCTGCCGCGGTCAGGATCACCAAACCTACACACCTCCGGCTCTTGGGGGTCCTTTCGACAAGGAAACCTAGCAGCAAAGGGCCGATGTTAACGTGCGACCCTCACCTATCGACAAAAAACCCCCCCACACAAGGAGCCCCTTGCTTGATTCAAGAACTTTGTTGGTCTGCAAGCTCCTTCCAGGACAACGGGGCCACTTTGAGCCCAAGACTACATAAAACAACCGCCTCTGAATATGATGGGGTTGACCGACGTCGGGTGCCATTGCGGTGGCCCTTGGTAAGGGAGGGCCTTCCTTGGTAAAGGGGACTTTCAACGCTATAAGGGGACCCAAGATGGAACAACCCCGCACATATCAGACGCAGAATGTAAACTCACAGCTGCGCAGAGCTTGCCACATCGACTTTTCTGAATGCAGGCAGTTCGTCAGCTTCCATGATCCATGATGTATCCCCTCTGGCTTGCCTTGTTGAAAAAATTATACTAAGGTCACCTTCTGAGGGGCTCTTTTACCTCGGGGCGCTGCCTTTTCTATCAAACCCAGGGTTGGGCCAACCCTCGAGTGTGTAAATATGGGTTTAGGGCTACTGCGCTCTGCATCCTTGGGCAACTCTGCTATCACGCTGTGCTCAGGGGTAGACCGTGGCATTGTATGCACGCTCGCCGTGGTAGTGCCTCAGAGAGCCCAACACTTAGACTGAACAACGCGGACACAAGTGCCCCAAACACGAAAGCCGAGAGCCGCACGCCTTTCCACAGCTCACTTCGGTATGCTCCCCCTGGGTTGCTCTGGAAAATGCTTTTGTCCCTTTGTGATATGATTTTCTCTGGTGTTGGGAGTTCAACTATTGCAAGTCCGAGCCTTCGGACACGTTTCAGAGTCTCCCAAGACAGTGACATGTAAGTTGAACAGATTGGAGTCGCGAATACGGAGCTCCCAATCCAACGCATGATACAAAGAACATCAAAGGACCCAAGAAACGAACTCCAACTTAACCACAACCCATGCTGCCATGACCAGTACCCGTACAAGTGAAACTTCACAAAGAGTCTGCGATGTCATTTCTCCAGTAATGTCCGTAGTCGGTGCCCAGAACGGTGCACTAAAGAGCGCCTGAATTAAGAGTCCTCACAAGGAGCCCAGAACTAAAGCCCGCGGCAAGCCCAGAATGAGGCTAGAGGCCCCACATCCCGCCATGGGTGCCCGGGCTATGCGCCGCGAAGGCGAGCTGTTGCGGCTGCTGGCTGCCACAATGCCTGCTCTGGGGCAGGTGTTCGATTGGGCCCCCCCAGCACTAGCTTCCAGAAGACCGAATGATCGTTGTAAGTAGGGTCCTATCATTTCCCTCAGCCTCTGTCATGCCTCCAGTTGCAAGAGCCTCACAAGTGGCCCCTACAAACAGAAACATGACCCGTGAAACCATCATCACCTGCAATCATCAACTGCAAAACAGCCCTTGCTCGGTGTAGAGTGCTCATGGGAGGGACAGCGCAAAAAGATATCAAAGAGCGTGGGGGTCTAGAAGGCGACGCATGCGTAACGGCAGTCCTCCCGAGATCACGGGCGCGACTATCGGCGGGCTTGCCTGAAACAGGGGATTCATGGCTCAGGCGTGAGGCGCGAAGTGGAGAAAGTGAAGATTCAAGGAGTTTCAAGTGCAATCAAGCAACGACGCAGTAGGTTTGCGTGGTCACCGGTTGCGCCATTGCCGGAACAGCAGGAACTGTAGGAACTGCAGGGTAGGTGCGCGTCCTGGGATGCAGAAGGACTGCCAAGAAAATATAGAAAAGGTTCAGGGTTTTGCTTAAGGGGGGAATGATTTGGGGTTTCCATACAACTACGTGGTGTACTTGTGCTTGTGGCTTCCAGTGGGCCACAGGTCCTGGGCAAGAAGCCTGCCTGTTCGCAGAACTGAGGGCCTCGCGACACGGTGATCCTCTCATGTGCGGCCGTCCTCATCTCTGAGACAAAATTTCTCCAAGATGAGCTGCAAGGATACAACGTTGACACAAGCTGAAAGCATGCCCGAGATTAACCATGACTCTACAGGCACCGCACTCCAGGGCCCAACCCCGACGACAGCTCTGCGCTTCACGAGCGTGCGTGCGGGGACGCGGGACAGAGGCGAGAGCATTGGAAACACACCGCGAGACTCATGCAAAAATCCCCTAGAAAAAACGGACGCACGAAGCCAACCCATCGCGAAATGCAGGAAAGCGCGTCACCAGCCCACGCTGTCCCGACACGGAGCGACGCAAGCCACAAAGCCTGACAAAGTGCACGGGACCCAGGCCGGAGCACGATTTCGAGTTTGGAAGGTGCAGGGGACCCATGTGAGAGCTCGCGACTTGGGGGAGCCGAAGGCATGCCACATTTGCAATGTTCGGGACACCCGTCGTGCAAGCACTACTTGAGGAATTTGAGCCCCTTTTGGCGTACCTTCTGTGGAACGCGGGCCTTGATACGTTGAGTGTACCCCACAAGGAACAGGCGTGGAAAGGACCCAGACACACAAACGAGCTGGGCCAAGTAGCGGGAGAACCTGGCTCGGAACGGGCGAGGTCTGTCTCACCTGGAAACAGCTGTGAAGTCTTCAATGGCGGCAGTCCAGAAACCTGGGCCTGCGGGTACATGTTGTAGACCATGACAGGCGTGCTCGTTCCCGATGGTATGGACCTAAAGGAAGAGCATCTCTTTCGGGGGCAGCCGGTACAGACGATGGTAGCTCGGGTATGCAGGTGGCCTCCGGTAGGGCTCATCAGACGGACAAGCACCGTCTGCATAGCTAGGAGGCAGTGTGCCCTGGGCCTACTACCGCTTTCACATCTCACAGCGGGTACCTGCGTGAGCATGGAGTATTCCTGGCCTCTCGAACTTACATGTGACGCAGCCCCAGGCTCTGGCGCGCCTACGCTGAATCCCTCAAAAACCCCTGAACCTCGGGGAGCTATACTAAGAGGTACTGTATGTATCCTGCACCAACTGCTACAACGCAAGTGGTATCATGTGGTATCACTAATACAAAAAGTACCCCCGCCCTAAGATGGGGAAGAGCCCACAACAACCGGGTGACCGCACCGCACGGATGGGCTGCTCACCACGCCCGGCAGGGAAGGGCTGGAGCGCGCCCGGTTCGGTCTGGCCATCGGCAGCTGAGGTCCCTTCTTTGGGTACCCTATATATAGTACGGCACCAGTAAGAATAAGGAGCCCCCAAAGAAACCCTCTTTTGGAGAACTGCCCAATTGAGGTCCGGCGCTGTCTGGTTCCTGTTTGAGGTGCCGTTTAGGGTTGGGGGGGTGGGGGCTGCAAGGGCACATGCTGGATCTCCCAGTGCCTGAAGCGGATCTCCGTACCATCCACCTGCCACACTAAACATCACTTGCGTGGGGGTTTACGACCCAATATAGATCGCCAAATCGTAGGATCCCTTTGTGACAAGGACCCCAAGAAGGTCGGAAACCCCCACATGGACAAAGGATGAGAGTCTTTCCCGGGCCATGCAGAGGTGAGTGGGATCGGTGCCTCGCCAATTTCTTCGATGTCACTTCCACCCTCCTGAACAGGGTGGCACACTCAAAGCTGGCAGCCCTTCACGGTAACCTACAGCCGTGCGATGCTGCTTGTCAGAAGATGATGTCGTTGAAAGCAGAGGTCTTCACCCGAGCTATGATAAACTTGCAAACCTCGAGAACATCTTCGAACTTTCGAGAAGAAGACCGCAAGAAGTTGAGCAGCCCAAAAGCCGCATGAGGCAGATGGTCGCACCTTCATCTTGGACGAGAGGTCATGCGTGTGGGAGTCGATGGCTTCCTCAAGGGTTCGCTGTCATCTGGTGGGCTGCGGGGTTTGAGGGTTTCGGGTTCACCATCTGCAGCGTTTCAAGCCCAACTAACCAAATCCGCAGGTGGAGTGGAGGCGCAGAGTGGGGAGGGAGGAGGGAAGGCAGAGCAGTTTTGATGGAATTTCTGTAGTACCGCCACCGGCTCGCAGAACTTCTTGGGGCCCGAGCCCAGACACGCTGCAACTCCAGGCCACGCTCTTCGATCTCCTGGCAGGCTCAGGGCTTTTTGAGGCCTTGAGTGCACAGACGGCTTGGCTCAATTTGCGCTAAGTCGTTCACTTTAAGGGCTTGGGTCTTGAAAGCAAAGGTTTCTACGGGCTTCGCAAGGTTTTGAAGTGTTTCAGAGCACTTCAACCCCACTTGAGGGGGAACGGGGGCCATACGGTGTATTGCCAACAACATGGTTTTATCACAAATAAACATCCTCGTCACAATAACAACAAGCAGAAAAATCAAAAATCAGAAGAGTTATGATCAGAATCGTAGAGATAAGTCATCATCGTCGTCGTCCTGGTAGTAGCAGTGGCAGTGGCAGTGGTAGCGGTAGCGGTAGCGGTGGCGGTGGCGGTGGGGGTGATGGTGGTGATGGTGGTGGTGGTGGTGGTGGTGCTGCTGCTGGTGCTGCTGGTGGTGGTGGTGGTGGTGGTGGTGGTGGTGGTGGTGGGGGTGGTGGGTGGTGGGTGGTGGGTGGTGGGTGGTGGGTGGTGGGTGGTGGGTGGTGGGTGGTGGGTGGTAGTAGCAATAGCAGTAGCAGTAGCAGTAGCAGTAGGAGTAGGAGCAGGAGCAGGAGTAGCAGTAGCAGTAGCAGTAGCAGTAGCAGTAGCAGTAGCAGTAGCAGTAGCAGTAGCAGTAGCAGTAGCAGTAGTAGTAGTAGTAGTAGTAGTAGTAGTAGTAGTAGTAGTAGTAGTAGTAGTAGTAGTAGTAGTAGTAGTAGTAGTAGTAGTAGTAGTAGTAGTAGTAGTAGTAGTTGTCGTCGTCGTCGTCGTAGTAGTAGTAGTAGTAGAAGTAGTAGTAGTGGTGGTGGTGGTGGTAGTAGTAGTAGTAGGAGCAGCAGCAGCAGCAGGAGTAGTCGTCATAGTAGTAGTAGTAGTAGTAGTAGTAGTAGTAGTAGTAGTAGTAGTAGTAGTAGTAGTAGTAGTAGTAGTAGTAGTAGTAGTAGTAGTAGTAGCAGTAGTAGTAGTAGTAGTAGTAGTACTAGTAGTAGTAGGAGGAGGAGGAGGAGGAGTGGCATCCTTGAACTTTGCGGTGTTTCGGATTCGGGGTCCGGGTGCAGACAACGCAGACCCTAATTACCATGATGTCATCCAGGTTAACTTCCTCCAGCTCGGCCCTAGAACCCAGACAGAAGGCACTGGCCAAGGGGTCTCACTGGATAAGGTCTAACGGTGGAGGCGCAGATCTGTGGCCCAGCCTTGCGCATCAGCGTATCGAAGATGCCCACCTGGCAGTTTGGGGATTTCCCTGAAAACGCCTTGTGAACACACGTGGGATTCCAGGGCAGTCCGCAAAGCCCAGCACGGCCCCCTTAACAACCCACTGCCAAGGCCGCCGTGCGCTGCAAGGAGTCCACCTCAAGGCTGCGAAACATGCTCCGCAACTGCAACAAGTTGCAACAAAATGGGGCCACACGGGGCAGCTCTCCATGATAGGACAAGGGTTCGCGTGAAGCATTCACCTCTTGCCTCTTGGAGTTCCGGGTGTCGGGTCTTTCAAGGGTCTGTGGGCTTCTCGTGCAGGCGAGCCACCCGTTCCCCAATCGTCTCGTGGTGGCGGCTGCGCTCATGGCTTTCCTTCTGAAGAAGCTCCTGCTCCGAGCACATTAAGAGAAGGACCTAACCCAAAAGAGTTCCAGACCCAACACATTCCAGCTCCTCAATCTGTTGCCTGGCGGCCCTCTCTTTGCTGATCAAGTCCTTAGAACTGCAAAGGCAATTCGAAGATGGAAATGGGGAGGACTCAAGGAGTTAGGTGAAAACTCGGGGAGGCTGCAGGTACCCTGGCAGAGCCCCAAAGGGCTTCAGGGCGCAGCTTGAAGGCTCTTAAGGGCATCCCAGGCTCTGTGTGGATCTCGTGGTGTTGGCCCCGGGCGTCCTTCTCCTGTTTCACCAGGGCCTGGAATAGAAACCCTCGGCGCTTTTTATGCCTCAACTTAAAAACTTCAACAAGCTGCAGACAGCTCGGGCGCGCTCCTCCACGTGCTCTGCGTGGCGCTCACGCGCCACCCGCTCGTGGCCAAACTGGTCTTGGACCCGCTTCTCGTGAGACTGCCGGAGGATCGGATGCGGTGGGCACATCTTTGTTGGTGATTGGAGGATCAGGCCCCTGCACAAGCTAGATGTGCCCTTGCTGGCACTCAAGCAACTTTGACCAATACCTTCCTCCAAAGCACTACCACGTATCATGTACCATTTAACCTTAATCGCCCCAACTTCCCCTAATCACCATACAATACATGAAGAAGCACACTCAGTGCAACAGTTCCAGCCTCCGTTCTCCCTATGGCATCATGGATTGGATGGCCCAGGTAGTCTCGTTGAGATCTTTGGGTTGAGTTGCCAAGATGATAACCCCAAAAGCCCCACACCTTGACCAGGGGGTCCCTCTGGGATGGGTGAGGCAATCCAGGGCCTCCATCGTCTGCTTGTGGTTGGCCATGTGGTGAGCCACGGCCTCTTCCAATGCCTCACCGTGCGGCGCGGCCCAAAGCCGAACTTTGGGACGTTTCTAAGCCGGCGGGTTCTCTTGGTAGGGATCGAGGGGTTGCGGTTCCTTATATGTCCCCGGAACCCCCGTGCTAGGGTTACAAAGGCGAACTCCCTCATTCCCTACAAAGGACCACCATGCTCCGCACAGGCGACGAACATTGCACCGTGGGAAATTACACCACCGAAGACCCCAAACAGTCAAAGGCACGTCAAAGAAACAGTGGAGACGACGGGAGACAAAGGGAGATGAAGGGAGACAATGGGAGGCGAGGAGCACAGCAACCCAAAATGAAGGGAGACAAAGGGAGACAAAGGGAGACAAAGGGAGACAAAGGGAGACAAAGGGAGACAAAGGGAGACAAAGGGAAACAAGGAGCCCAGGAACCCGGCAACAATCCTCAGAATGTCGGCAATCCTTAGATGAATTTAGCACCCCCAACTGTAGACTGTAGACTGTTTGGGGAAAACTCAGTAGTGCATTAGCAGCCAGGTCTCCCCCAGAAATGCGTGCAATGTTTCAGGTCAAATTTTGCTTCCAATTTCGGGGCTTGGGGTTTCGGCATTAGGGTTTAGGGCAGAACCCCCCCTTGCCCCCTTGCCTCTCGAGCCCTCTTCTCGCTCTCCAGGTGCTCACTGATGGCTTCGCCCTGCCCAAACGCGCAGAAAACATCCGGCTGCAAAGGACTGTCAACACTAAATAGCAGCCCTACTGACCTTGGCCGTTGAGCCAGAACTCCACACTCTGCACACGCTCTCCTAAACCCTCAACCACTGGTACACTGAGAGGAATCCCTCACACTCACCGGCCTGGCGCGTGCGCGTCGAGCGCTCCGCCAGGACCTGGTTGCGCAGTTCCTCGAGCTTCCTGGGACTGAAGACGAAGTGAATTATGGGGAGCGTTGGGCTCTTTATAGGGCTTTAGGGGTCAGGGTGAATCGACGGGAGTTTTCGGGTTCTTTGGAGATGTCTGGCTTGGTGACGCACCACCCCAACAAGGGTGCTGCAAGAAGGCTTGGAGGGTACGTGGTACCCCGGACACCGAAGACCAAAACCTCCCAGCCAGGGTGCACTTCAAGGCGGCTGTCTGCGCTGGAGCCCTTGGCGGCAAGCGATCGACTCAATATGGTTTAAGGTTTAGGGTTTAGGGTTTAGGGTTTAAGATTTAGGGTACCATGATTCACGATGACTTAGTATGACTCCATATGCTTCTCCTTGACCTCTTTGAGCACACATCTGCGGGCCCGGCGTGCTTCTCCTTGGACTCCCCAAGGTACGTCTCCAGGAAGTTCAGCCGGTCCTGAAGCACACGAAACTTGCGGCCTTGCTAAGCCCGAAGAGGCGTTTAAAGCCCCAGCAGAGGGCGCAAACGGGCTTGAGGGATGTGGGGGGGGTAAAAAGGAGCATCCCTCCTCGAGAGAGTAGTGCTTCGCCCGGGTGTGGCTCTGCTCCTTCGGAAGCAGTGGATGACAAAGGGAGCTTAGGGCTGCTTAGTCGTTTCCTATGGGTTCAAGTTTTGTCCGGGGCATCGCACTCCGTGTGGATGCACGTGTGCCTTCTCTTGCGAGTTTGGAGCGGAGATGCGCACACTCTGTACATTCCTATGCCCGGTCTACGGTGCTGCCAGCCCTGATATCCCCCGCACCTGCTGTTCCACGCCCAGTCGGCTGTGGAGTGATTCCACCTTACCTTGAAGTCAAGGCAGAGTTGGTCAAGCAGCAGAAGCACCAGGAATGCACAGGGTTCAGGATGAAGCTCTTACGCTTCAAAGCCTTTCAGGAACTGAAGGAAGAGAGAAGAAGCGCACCTAAACACTGCCCTCATGGTGCCCATCAGCCTTCTGAAGCATCTGATCAGCGGGAGATCAACTGCGCTTGGCGCTGAGTCTGAAGCTGTATGCGTGTGTGTGGGGGGGGGGGGGGCGCACGGACATCTCCAGACGCACCCCTTGTACTTCGTAGCCGGGGGGCTTCTGGTGGTGGCCAGCTCGGCGCTATGTCGGTCGGCAGAGTCGCCCAAGGCCTTCAGAGGAGGGCTTCAAGGACTCGGGATTGTTCCGAGTTGGAGTCAATGGGGGGGGGCGGGCTGTTAGAGTCTAAGCTTCATGATTTGGGCGGGCCTTCTCCAGGAAGCCCACGCGTTCCGCCAGTGAGGCGTGGTGCTCCTCAAGGGCGGCCTGGCATCTTGGGCGGGTTTAGCCTTACGAAGGCGCTGCAAAACACCACCTTCGTCCCTCGTCAAAGCCGAAAGCATTGATCTGACACATCTGCCGGCGCCTTGTTGCCGGCTATCGTGGCATTAGCCTTCTTCAGCGAGTCGATGTGCTCTCCCTGCGCCTGTTTTAATGAAAGCATGGCTATCTCGAGCTGTGCAAACACAGAGAGGGCTTACAAGGTCAAGCACCTCGCACTTGGACACTCGCCCGTGCATCTCGTCCAGCTTCACCCTGGCATCAGCCAGCTCCTGCGAACCCAGGCTAGCACAATGCCAGATTCCACAAGCAGGAGTAGCTCTGAAGAGCTCTCTTCCTGAGCATGTTTGGTGGCAGAGTCGCCCAGCAGCTGCTCAACGTACTGGAGCCGCTCGGTCAGCCTCGGCAGCAGCTGTGTATGCTGCGACAAGCCGATGATGAAGCTTATTTATCTTATTTCTGTGAGCAGGGTCTTCTTCGTCCAAGTGAGAGAGCTGCTCAAGGACACGGTGGCTCCTTCTGGTTCTCAAGCCGAAAGGTATCCGATGGTGTGCTGGCAGCTCTCACAACAAAGGCATGAAGCAGGTCGGCCTGCTTGCGGAAGGAAATCTACGAGTTTATGCCAAAGGCACAAGCTCTCACAGATCTAGAATCACCACTGGCCTCACTGAATCCACAGATATCTGCTTCCAGGACACGAGGAGTGAGCCGTCTCCTTGGTCTTCGCGTCGGTCACCATCTTCGCGTGAGAGGCGCGCAGCTCAGCCAAGGCCTCCAGGAGTTGCGACCCCAAACATCCCCAAACCAGATACCGATACACCCCGGGGAGAGTGCTCATCAGAGGCAACAAAAAAAAACGCCCGAAGGAAACACCGAGATTCTGACCCGTGCCCTGTATTTGCCCCCACAAAACCCCCCTTGCGGGCGCCTTCCCGTGCTTGTCCGCGTTGTCCCCGAGGGAGGACTCCAGGAACTCCACGCGCTCCCTCGGCTTAGACTATTAGAGGGTCGTGGGGTGCGTAGGCTTGTTCAACTCACCCTAAAAACCCTCAGCTCCCAAAAAGCGAAACCCTGCCGCCCACTAACTTCCACCAGAATTCTAGAGCCCAGAAACGCGTGGGTCCCGGAAGCTCGAGATGCCCTAAACCCCCCCCTCCTCTGGCCTCAGCGAGGCATGGAAAGCATCCTGCTGCGCTTTCTGGCCTCGAGGGGGCTCAGGGAGCGTGAGGACATGCGAGCTTTCATTCATGGCATCCTGCAGGTGTAGGGTGTAGGGTGCAGGGCTTGGGGCACCGGTTTCATGAAAGAGCACTACAGGACTCCGAAACCCCTAGATTACCAAAGGCCCAAGACCGCCAGCCTCCCAAACCCCCAAACCCCAAACCCTACGCCCCAATAGGCCCCGCGCTTTGCAGGCTGTTGTGGCTCTTTTGCAGCGTGTCCAAGGATGCCCCATGCGCCTGCTCAGAGAGGTGTCTTCCGTGTGTTCTTTTAAGCTGACATATCTTCACTCTTCGAGCATTCGCTCATATGATAAGGATTTCGAACATGGCTAGGAGTACTGACTTCAGAGAAGACGAATGCAACAGACGCTCTGATCATGTTGGTCCAATGCAACTGCGGTGTCGGACGATTACAGGGTCCAGGACTCGGAACCCGATAAAGAGAGCCTTCACAACCCCGCGGTGCTCTTTGTGCTCTTAAGGGTGGCCGCACCTCGCGCGCGGCGCGCTCGTCGGAAACCCGGCTGTGCCTCGGGACTTCTCTCGGCTCATCTGGATGCATCGGAACTCCAAACAACCAGCGATGTAGCTACCGTGGGTCTCCTGGTCGTGCCCAATAGTCAAGGCACCACAACTTGAGTCAACCTGAGGCCCGCTACATCCTAAACCCTGCCTGAAACATCTCAGCCCTAAGGCACACCGTAAGAACCTCTGAGAATTGAGCCTACATCCTTCATTGGCCCAGGCAGACGAAGCTGTGTCACTTTGGGGACTGAGGGTTTCTTCAGGTTGGCCAAGACACGCAGCATCCACCTTCGCCCCAGTTGAGGCCAGCTCCTGGAAGCACACAGGGATTTTGTAGCTTCTTTTAACTTCTTTTCATGGGTTTACCGCTGGTCTTCGTAGAGATCATCCCCGCCCGACCTCGAGCTGCCTGCAAAAAAACACAAACTTCGAGAGCCCCCGAAACCTGGGGCATCTGCCTTCTCCAGGGCGTTCACGCGCTCGGCCAGCGTGGCATGATGCTCCTCCAGCTTCTCCTCCAGCTTCACCTTTCCATCTCGGCTGCCCCCCCCCCCCCCAAGCAGGCTGAAGGCCGAAGGCGCGCGACGTGTCGCGCCTTGTTGCCAGCCAGGGCGGTGTGAGCTTTCTTCAGCGAGTCGATGTGCTCTCCGTGCACCTCTGGCAACTTCAACACCACCACAGCTGCTTGAAGCTGGGGGCTCAGAGCTTTTGGGATGCTCGATGCTTAGGGTTCCGGGTTGAAGTGTCTTAACTACTGAGGACAGCTGGCAAAAGTTGTCAGCGGAGTGAGGGGCAACTCATTGCAGAGGGCACCTCGCACTGGGACACCCGTGTATGCATCTCGCCCAGCTTAGCTCGGGCATCTGACAGCTCCTGAAGCACAGGGTGGTCAGCGGAGGAGTTGCAACGACAGGGGAGATGAGAGGAGCGAGTAGAGCCGGATGCTCAGATGCATGCATCATTCTGCATCCTTCTGCACCATTCTGAAAACATCCTGCGCGTGCCTGCGCGTGCTTGGTCAAGGAGTCGCCCAGCGTTTGCTCGATGTACTGGAGCCGCTCGGAGAGTCTGCCATGTCTGGGGCCCATCTGCGTCGTGGCTCTACGAATCTAAGGCACCAGCAGAAGTTCAAATAAGAGCTACAGATGACCACTCACGCAGCCTCCGTTGCTGCTCTTTCCCCTTGCTACTCGCATGCTTCCACTCAGAAAGCTACATAGCCTCAAGCCTGAACCAAAGAATCCCATGCCCTGCTTCTCACCACTCCTACCCTCAACGCGTGCCGGGCGCACGAGGCGTGGCTTGACTCCTGGCGGCGGGGACGGCGCGCTCCAGGGCTTAGGGTTTAACATCCAATGTGTGTTTATGTGGCGGGGGGGGGGGGGGGGGGGGGCAAGATCATTACATCACTCTCACAAGGGATCACTAACTTGCATGGATTCTTATTAGAAATCAGTGCCACGAAGGTAATAGTAGGCAGGGCTCATGTCACGAACGGATAAAAGATTGCAAGGTGTGGAGATAAGATATTGAATCTGTGAGTTTGGGAATTAAGTGATGCGGTTGCCTTTCCTCTTTGACGGTTCATGTGCCCCTTGGCTCCTATCAGGGGCTCTACCTTTGACTACAGATACCTACACAGCCCGATGGCTCGGGATCCCCCCATTCGTTTTGTTGGTCGTACGGGCTTAGGGTGCCCAAGACCTACACCCTCAACTCAAACCGAAAGCGGTAGCCGCCCTTCCAAGCCACATAAGAAGCGCGGATTTAACAAAAGAAAGATCGGAATGTTTTTGGCCTTGCCAGGCTGTTTGAGTCTAGCGAGTTTTAGGGCTGAAGAGAAGGCCCCCCTGCAGTCCTTGCCGCTCAGCATCTTGGCGTGCGAGGCTTTGAGCTCCGCCAGGGCCTCTCTCGTGGACAAACCCCTACTTAAAATCCTATGTATGAACCGATTGTGATGTCACTCCTGGAGGCGTAGGCCAGCTTTGAGAGAATGTGTGTAGATGCAAGAGGAGGAGCAGGAGCCGGAGCACCAGAATAAGAGTTAGAGGCGCCGCAGGACAAAGCACCCGACAAGGCATTGAGACAACGCACGGGACAAACGCAGAGGGAAACGTCTACAGACAGGACTGTGTGCCGGAGTCACGCGGCCCCTTCACGATTTGGCTTCGTGCACATAGGCACAACACACTGTCGCTGTTCGGTAGGTGCCGGTCCTTGCCATGCTTGTCGGCATTGTCCCCAAGTGAAGCCTCCAGGAAGTCCACACGCTCCCTGGCACGTGCGCAGTAACCCCTCAGAGAGCTTTTGGCCTTGTCGAAGGCATGCAAAACCCCAAGCCCCAAAAGGGAAGCGCGAATCCCACCAAACCCAAGCACCCCAGCCCGCAACCCCCAAAAAAGGAGCCGAACCCGTGATGTGCCAAGGCCTCAGCGAGGCGTGGGTGACGTCCTGCTGAGCCTTCTGGCCTCAGATGGGATCTGGCACCAGTCCACCTTTATAAAGAAGACTCACGCGTACGGGACTACTTACTACTTAAAACTTGGCGAACCGCTCATGTTAAGAGGAAGCCGCAAACCCCAAGCATTCCCAAACCCTGGAGCTGAGGGCGGCTCTGCTGAGGGCGCTGTGCACCTCCCAGCTGCACATCGCAAAGGCGCAGCACACAAGCATCCCAATCACCCCCTGGAAAATTGGCAACCTTGGGGCGCACTAGTGAGGATTATGTGCAGCGGTGTAAACGGGGCGAAACGGGGGGCTGTAGGGTAAGGGTGGGGGGGTAGGGGGGTTTAAGGGCGGCATAAGGGGGGGGGCCGTCTAGGATTAGGGGGGTGGGAGCTCAAAGTCCCGCAACCTCGCACCCAGGGATGAAACTGAAAAGGCTGGAAGCACTTTCATGCAGCATCACAAGCTCGAAAGCCCGAATCCGGCAGCTTCCGCAGAAGTGCACCATGGGCATTCCCTATATCATACACCCCCAAAAACTACAGTAACCCTTTGTCTAGGAACCCCCCCGGAGTGGCCCATTTTCGGAAAGCCATCCCTTGTAGCCCCGCTTCCCAGGCTGTTCCGAGCCCACGCCTTGTCGAGGCTCTCGGCCAAGGCGCAATGGTTCCTAGGAATTTGCGGCTTAGGGGCTTGGGGCTTAGGCTTGGGGATTAGGGCTGAGGGTCGAATTGCTGATACCCTGTTGCCTCCCTCGAAAAGCTTGAAACTTCGGGCTTCAGTGGGCTTGAGTGGGCTTCAGGGCCTGTGGGCCTAGGCTGCCGGCTTCTCCAATGACTGCTTCTCACCTCGGGGACCAGGCGCGGCATAAGATCTGAACCGTGTTTGTGCAGAACTCACAGAGACCCCAAGCGGCCTCAATCCTATGTCCGAAAGGCTTTGAGGCAGCTCCGATTCCTCCGTGTCATGAGTTCGGAAAAGCCGGAAGCCCCAGTTTGCGTGGGTTCTTCGTAGAGGAATCTGAAAGACAACGAGGCACAAAAGTTTGAAGCTTCAGCTGGGGCACGCGCTTAGCAGACTGCCATGGGCCTTTTTCAAGGTGTCCAGGGAAGCCGCGTGAGCCTCCGCAGGGACCGTGTTGACAGCCATCCTTAACCCTCCTGCTCGTGCTGTGCTCTACGAACATGTTTGTTCATTCATATCTCTTCATATGGAGTGGTTTTCTATATATATATATATGTGTATTTATTGATTAATTTATGCATCTATATATATATATATATAGATATGTTTATCAGCGGTCAGGCACAGCAAGTGGAAACCGATTTGAACGCGCAACGAACAGCCCAGCAACAAGTAGGGCAAAGCAGAGGCAAAACCGAGCTCAGAAACTCAGAAAGCGAAAAAGAGACCGCACTACAACGAAGGCAGACAGCTGCCTCGACTCTACACGTCAAAACGCACAAAGCATGACCGCTCATGCCGGGGGTTTTGTTGGCTGTAATGCAAACGTTAAATTTTCTAAGTAGGGGTGAGAATTCTAAAATTCGGCAGGCCGGAGGGTCCCGGTCCAAGACTACTTTCCATTGAGGGAGGCTTTCGGGCTGACATGTGTGTAAACAAAGCCACATAGGAGGGAACGATGAAAATAGTCATGAGGTGACATTATTGGCAGAAATGTCTTTTCATCCGAAGAGCTCCCGAAGCTTCAGCTTGGGTCGTTACAGAGGCAGATCTCGTTTGAGATTGCTGCCGCTCCAGAGGCTGAGACAGACAGCCTTACTACAGCAGCACCTGCGACTTCAGCCTTCGAGCCTTCGGGTCCTGATCTAAGGGCTTAAAACAATCGTAAGACTCCCTTAAGCTTAAAACTTCAGCCTTCGGGTTCTGGAAGCCTGGAAACCGCCAGAAGTCTCAAAGCCAGGCTTCCTTGCCGAAATCCCTACCCGCCGGGGCTCGAGATTAGAAACCTTACGGGCCTCCAACATGACAATAAAGAAGGTTTGGCAATAATAATTTCGGAGACAGGGGCGGGCCGGGAAACCAAGTAAGCCTCAAGCTTAAAAGGCGGCCTCTAAGGCTTAAGATAGGAATCCCTTACCCTTAAGACTTCAGCCTTTGGGTCCTGGACTCTTGGAAATTGCCAGAGATCTCAAAGCCAGGCTTCCTTACTTGAAGCCTCTTCGGGCTGTGCCGCCAGACCCCAGACCTCAGACACCGAGACCCCCAGAAACACTTAGTTTTCACCCCCTTTTTTTCCACCCTCATTTTGAACATCAGATGGTTTTGGGCTAGTCTGTTTGGCATTTTGTCCTATTCCCATACTGACTTGTGCTTGGAAATCGCTCGAGTTGAGAAACCCAAAGATGACCCCCTCAAATGCGCCTAAAGGCGGGACAAAAAGCCGGAGACAGAAAGCGAGTGCATCTGCACTCGCTGGCAAAGACAAAGGCCTCGCGAGCGATGCGCTCGTCGGAGACCCGGGTGTGCCTCAACTGGAGTACAAGGGTCGAACAGAAGGGCCCTTAAGGCTCACGTGAGCTCAGGAGCTTCGGGGGCTTAGGATCGCGACTCCAAAAAGAAACGCCAGTCACGAGGCGAGCTGGGCGTTCGAGACGCGCAAGAACCAGCCAAGCCGCGCAGCATCCACCTTCGCCGCCGTGGAAGCCAGCTCCTCCCGGGTCTGTTTCTCCACAGCCTATTGGGGCTTGTTCCTGAAAGAACCGTTTAGAGGCGCGCTTTCATGGCACCTGCCACGCATGCCCCAAGTTTGCAAGCACATACTGGCACAGCAAAAGGTGGCGGACGCTTCGGCCCCTAAGGAAACCACACGATTCCCTTCTGTTGCGAGCCAGGCCTTGGCGTGCTTGTCAAAGGAGTCGCCCATAGCCTTAAGCACAAGGCCGAAGGGAGCGACATTGCATGATAAGAAGACAAGAAGATGGGAATACCATCATACAAGAAAAATACAATGAGGTCATTATACAAAATATGGATAGTCAGAATAGAATAGAACAATAGATGCCCCAATCCCGAGGCCTTCTCCAAGAAGTCCATGCGCTGGCTCAGCGAGGCATGATTCTCCACGAGCTTCTCATCAAGCTTGGCCTGCGCAATGCCACGGGCTCCGAAAACAAAACCCTCAACCCTGAACTCAAAACCCTAAACCCTAAACCCTGAACCCTAAACCCCAAGGCCCCTAAAGGCCCCCAACACTTTTCTCAGCGCGCCTTGCTGCCGGTGAGGGCGTTGTGGGCCTTCTTCAGCGTGTCGATGTGCTCTCCGTGGGTCTCGCACTCGGCGACGCGCGCGTGCATCTCCTCCAGCCTCGCCTTCGCTTCCCCCAGCTCCTCCAAAGGCAGAATACTTAGGATTTAGGGTTGAGGGTTCAGGGGGTTTTTTTAAGACAAGAGTCGATAACTTGCCAATGTTGTTGCTTGCGATTGGCGTGGCTTGGGTGGGGTTTCGGGTGGCCACGGGCAGTCCTTGGCATGCTTGCCCGCGGAGTCCCCGAGCATCTGCTCGATGTAGTCGAGCCGCTCAGACACCCTGGGAGTCAGTAGCAAAAGCACGCAAGAACGTCTGTTGGAGACGTGCAGAAAAGAGCCCCCGGGTGAATTTTCACGAGGCCTCGCCTGGGGCGAGGTTCAAGCTTCAGGTGCTTTCCATGTCATGATGCCCTCGACCCGCACCAGATCTCCCGTAGTCCATTTGACAAGTTGCCATGCCCTGGCTTCAAGCCTCAAAAGACCTCAAAGCCCTCGAAGCCCTCGAAGCTCTCAACTCCCTCAAAGACCTAAACCCCTCCTAAACCTCATCAACCACTCCCAAACCCCTCCTAGACCCTTTCCCTGAAGTTCCCTGAACCCGCAAACAGCGCCAGGGGGTCGAAGAATGGCTGGACTTCACGTCACTGGTCACCTTCGCGTGGAGCTCGGCCAACGCCTCCGGGGGCTTGAAGCTGAGGGGCTCTTCTGTGCGTCGCTCGGGCTTTATGCTTGCACGGAGAGGTTCTGGGCCTGGGTTTGGGTTGAGGGCGCAAGAAGAGCTCTTGTGGCTCGAACCTTCAGCCGTCCCCCTCGGCTCGTGCGCCTCCGCCCCGAAGCCACAACAACTCGTGAGGCCCTCGTACTCAAACCCTAAGCCCCTAAAAACCTAAACCCCAAACTCCAAACCCGAGTGGTCTCCTTGGTGTGCTTGTCATGCTTGTCCGCATTGTCCCCGATGGTAGACTCCAGGAACTCCACTCGCTCCCTGGCGATGTGGAGGTGGCTCCGTCTTGCTGGAAGCTTTAACAGGGAGCTTGGGCATGAGATACACTACAACCCTCCTACAGTAAGCCCCAAAAAGTCGGAACATCCTTCTCCCCATGCCCCAAAAGGTATACTAAAGGGAATCCCGGCTGCACTCATCCTGAAACCATGTTCCAAACTTCTGGAGTTTACTATACATGATCAAGCCATACCTGAACCCACCTAGACTATAAAAGGCGCCTGATTCGCTAGTTCGCCACATTCCACCACGAAGAACCAGTAAGATATTGCAAGGAGGCGTTCCTATGGTGGCACGGCGTGCCTCAGGGACGCGTGGGTGACATCCTGATGTGCTTTCTGACCTGAGCGTCAAGGTCATGGCGGTTGGGCCTTGGCGTCGTTTGCTGGCACGAGATGATGGGCGATCTTGGTCTGAGCAGATTTCGGTTTGGGTTCTAGATACAGCAATGCCAAAACATAAAAGGGCCCATGGGAGGCCCAAGCAATGCCCTCTTCTCGGTAGAGCTGTCGGGCAGAGAAGCTGGGCGCCGAGCTGGTGAGTGTGCTGTGCACCTGCCAGCAACAAGCAGAACCATCCACCAGGGCCTTAGAAAGTTTGGCGTAGGGAGACTAAGCTTGTAGTCTAGGGCGTTTTTTGAAACCTTGTACCTGCAACACTAAGTCTTACCATTTATTCTCACTTGTATTTCTACTGCGGCTACTATAACTGAATAAATCATAAATCTTTTGAGAGACCGCTGTCTCACGCCCCAAAGCAAATACGATTCCTATTAATTTTCATACTATTTAATATGATTCCCAGGAACTTTAATACGAATCTAAGAATTTCTCTGAAAATTCATGAGAATCCTCTGAGAAATAATGGAAACCATATTGAATTTTCAAAGAAAATTCTTTCAATGGAATCATACTCAACATTTTGAAAATTAAGAGGAGTCATATTCAAATTCATAGGGTCCAAATTTAAATACCCAACCAACAGGGGCGGGGGGGGGGGGGGGGGGGGGGGGGGGGGGGGGGGGGGGGGGGGGGGGGGGGAGGAAAGGGGGGCTGTGCTCAGTTCGCCCAGATGGGTTCTCTAACGTCAACCCCACACCGAGCGCAGGCCTTCTCCAAGCGTTCTGCCAGATTGGCGTGGCTCCTAAGACTGGAGGGTTTAGGCTTCGAGGCTTTGGGATGTCTAGTAGAGGTCAGGGAGTTTAGGGAATTCAGTGCGTTTAGGGAGTTTAGGGCGTTTGGGGGAGGGAAGTTCGGCAGGAGCCGCTTTCGATGTGTAGGGTACAGTTGAGTGTGTAAGCTATGTAGGTTTAGGAATTTGCGGGCTTGGGCTTCGGGGTTCGGTGTTCAGGTTGCCCCGCCCAGAAAAAGAGCCCCCATCCAACCAACACCCGGATGCCCAAACAACAAGTCCCGCAACCCCCCCTACGAGTAGAACAAAATACACGGAGAAGCCTCTGCCGCCTCAACCCCACAAGGCGCCGGCTTCTCCAGCGCCAACTTCTCACCTTGATATGGGAGAGGGCAGGGCTTCAAGGGTTGGGGGTTTGGGCTTAAGGTGCAAGCACATTGCACAAGCAAACAATCAAAGCGTTGTCCGCCTTCGCAACATTGCCCGCAGCTTCCAAAACCTCTCTGCGCGGCCTCTTCGGGCGGGAGAGCGGGTCCCTGTCAGCACCTTTCGGCGGTGCGGAATACCTGCAGGCCATGCACCAAGATTCACGAGCCGGTCCTTCTCCTCCTTGTTCTTCTCAGGAGAATGGTCGGCCATTTTTTGTCGAGACTTTCCCCGACTCACACACCACGGCCCTGCAGTCCCGCCGAATCGCAAGAGGTTTTACTTGCATCTGCTCCACTGCGGGGAGGGCATCCATGGCCGCTCGGTTATCTTTTCAGTTCTGAAGATGGCGATTCTGGGGGGCAAATTTGGTCGCCTGGCATGGCCGCCACTTCGACTGCACATCTTCCATTCTTGCCCTGGTTCCTCCCCTGCCGTACTCCGGCAACTCGGCCGCCTCCTTGTCCCTGTCGGAAAAGTTGCCCGTTACGGCAGTTTCGGGTTGCCAGGGGCTGGATTCGAACGTGCATAGGACAACACGACAAGACAAGATTTCGGCATGCGCCGAGAGGCTGCACAGCTCAATCGATGCCGCTACGCGTCCTCTTCACCTATGATAGCAAACGAACATGAAACGTCAGACTTTCTCTGTGAACAGGTCACCAGATTGAGCAACAGCGTCCAGGGGGTCATGCTGGCGTGGGCGGCTCTCATTGCATACTGGCACTTCTTTCGTACGCAAAGCAATGCAACCAACCATAAGGAACTCCAAGACTCCTGTGCCCTGCTGAGGATCAAGCTTTGGAGGCTGCTGTGGGCCTTCTTCAGGGTGTCCAGGGACGCGCCGTGGGCCTTTCAATACTAGTAGGATCCGGGAGTTTGCGTCAGGGTGCAGGTTGCAGGGTTCTTTGGTTGAGTTCAAGGTTTCAGGATGTTCACGAAGCCCGGGGCTGTCCCCTCGATACTCCGCAGAATTCCAGAGCTGAGAACGCACACATCCAGCCGTCCTCCGCATATGGGAGTTTGCCAAAATAAGCGACCCCAAATTTAAAAAAACAAAAACTATGAAAAAAAAAGAGTAGGACTCCCTTAGAAAAAGGACCCCAATAAGGTACCCCGAATCTCGGAAACCCTAACAACCTCCAAAAGACGGGCGATCCTCTCGGGCTGCGCGCTCGTCAGCTACACGGGAGTGCCTCAGGATCTCCGGATGTCTCTGGGAGCTGGGAGCTGGGGAGGGTTTGGGAGTTGGCTCGGTGCTCGCTTGGGGGTTTGCAGTCTTTGGCGTCTCAACGTTTAGGGTAGGTGCTTCGTTCATGGATTCAAAAACTAGATGTGAATCCATACCTATAAAGTTTGCATCATCACAAGACTCGAGGGCTCTCTTGGAACATCCTTCTTCCTGGCACAGGGGGGTGGGTGGGGGGGGGTGCAAGCACACGAACCACGAACCCCCGGCTTCAACTGAACGTCGAGGGTGGTGTGGATGGAAGTGCGGGTGCCGCTACCTTACCGGACTCCTAGAGGGACTCCAATTCATCCAGAGCCTCGAAGCCTCAAGGTTTGACGCTTGACGCCTGCCTGCTTCACCCCAAGAGGCTCGGGGTTTGGGGTTCTAGTTCCGGGGTTTAAGTTTTAGGGGTTCCAGGGTTTAGGCTTCAGGGTTCCAGGGGGCTTAGGGCTTAGGGTTTGGGGCTTCAATGAGGGCTCTCAGTGCTGGGCACAGCATCCACCTTCGCCGCCATCTCCTGAAAGAAATGGCTGAGGCGAAGTGGCCAGAAACTATCTCGCTGCAGGCATGGGAGACAAAAAACTACTGGAAACGTCCGAAGTCAACCCCACGAACTCTGGATCCCCAGTGGCACAGCATTCGTAGAAACTGCTGTGGCTTGTGATTGGCATCCACGGTCACCACAACGACTCCGGATTGTCGCACGTAGCGACGTCGTGCTTTGCGAATGCGTGCGAGCTACCTACTGTCTGCACGCGGAAGTTCTCGCGTGCCTCGCATGATCGTCAAGGGCGTGCACAAGTCTACACAAGAAGCCCAGAGTATGTCGGCAACCCTCCAAACCAAAAGCTGCAGCACTTTCCTGCTGAACAGCAGACCGCTTTCACAGCAAAACCATTGGGGCTTCCTGAGGGATGCCTCTAGCGAAGAATGCCTAGGATGGCCAAATTTAGACACCTACTCCAAGGTTGACGCAAATCCTGGCCAGGCATATGGAACGAAGACAGCAAGACTCCAGTACCCACCCCCCCCGCCCCCCCCGACAAAGAGAGCAAACACTACCGCAGCGTAGCTAGGGATGCCCGAAAGTTGATGTACAACAACTGGGTCGACATTCGATATATTCGATCTAGGTCGATAAATACTATAAAACTGAACGGGTCACGGCTAGGACCTGAACCACACGCCCACAGCGCCAAAGTGAACCTTGATCAACAAGTACACCATAGAAAAACACTGTAGAGATTCCACAAAAAGGCACGCGCCTCTATGGAAGGGTACTGAGCTCATTTGGGAGGCCTGAGAAGTCTACGGAAAAGTCCAGCCTTCGCGTGCTTCTCAAAGGAGTCGCCCATGGCCTTCGGCCGACTGTAAAATCTCTGCAACCCATGTCCCTAGAGCCCGAAACCAAGCTTAAGGGGGCCAAACTGAGGGACCCCACCAGAGAACGCCGTCACCCGTCGCCCTTCCCCAGCCTTCTCCAGGAAGTCCAGGCGCTGGGCCAGTGTGGCATGGTGCTCCTCGAGCCGCACCTCCCACGTAGGGCGCTTTGATTTTGTTCGCCGTTTGTTGCTTTGTTGTTGTTGGGGGGGGGGGGGGCCTTGGAAGCTTCGCATCCATTTGACACGGTGCTCTCTCTCTCCAGTCCTGAAAGACCCAGCGGGCTCAGAAGACTCCGACGCAGCGGACCCAGCAGACGGCCCAGCGAACTCCAGCGGACTCCAGCTGACTCCAGCTTATCCACTCAGCGGACCCAAAGGCATTCTCTTAGCGACACCGACGGTGGGTTTTCAGGGACAGTTTTCCTGTAGACAAAACTATTTTTTTTGAGGACTCTTGAAGGAATCCCAAGTCAAACAGCCCTTAAGTGTCCAACACACGCGGGGAAGGGGGAGGGGAGGGGGTGCGGAGCCCAGAGCTTCCGGGAAAAAGGGGGCCACGATCAGCCACACCAAACAAGGAGCTCGAGCACAAAAGTTGGGATGCTCCCCCCTTATACTAACTTACTAAGAGTCCTGATAGGGACGATCGTACCCCCGACCATCATCCCGGCCCTTCGCACGGCCTGGCTGCCGTGGTGGTCCTTCTTTAAGGAGTCCCCATGGGCCTGGTTTCAGGGAAAGAAGGGAGCTTCAAAAGCTTTTGGGATGCACAAACAAGCTCGGCTTGTCGAGAGATGGGACTACTGATCAAAAGGTTTTCAGCAGACTTCGCCTTGGGAGTCGAGCTACCCGAGCTTTGCGAACGCTTGCAAAGGGGCCTCGCAGCCCGTGACGCGCACGTGCATTTCGTCGAGCTTGGCCTTGGCATCCGCCAGCTCCTGTTCGGAAGGAGAGGTTTGGCACACGCTCCCTGAGCCCAAGCTAGGGAGCTTGGATGAGTTTGGGTTTGGGGGGAGCTTGGGGGGTGAGCGGTCCTGGCCATGCTTGCTCACGGAGTCACCGAGCAACTGCTCAATGTACTTCAGCCGCTCGGCCAGCCTTGGCAGTAGCTGTAACAAGACTTCAAGACGCAGTTCCCTAAACCCGAAACCTTAAACCCAAGCCCTAAACCCTAAGGCCTAAGCCTTGACGAATCTGCGCCTGGAGAGATGCCACCAGGGCACGATGCATGGCTCGACTTGGTGTCGCTCGTCATCTTGGCCTGGAGCTCGGCCAGTGCCTTGCAAGGCAGAGGCAACACGAACATCCTACATTGACATAGAGAGAGAGAGAGAGAAAGGGCAAAGTGATGTGATGAAATATAGCTTTTTTCTGCAATGCTCTTGACTTCTGTAGCTAACATGCATGCTAGATTGTTCCGGTATGTCGCTTGGTAAAGAACAAAGTACAATAATAGCATAGCATGCACAGCATTGTACAACGTAGCATAATTTCGTACAATGTAGCGACATGCAACGTAGGTAATGCCATGCAAGGCTTTACGGAGTATATCACAAGCACAACGTAACCAGAAATGAGAGCGAGCGTGTTGAAAATAAAATTAAACCACCTCGTATATAACATCAGACAGTGCAACAGAAAATATCATAAAACAACAAAATAGTAAATATCACATTACATAGTATAGCATCATGTAACATAAAATAACATTATAGAATCGAAAACTAAATCGATATAGTATGCTGTGATAAAGGAAGACAGAATACAACATTCGGTAATGGCACAATGTAATAAGTAGTAATGTAGAGCAACGCAATGAAATCTAGAATCATCTCGTTTCGATGACGTACAATATAGTTAGTTTACCTTCCCCCTGCCCTGAACCCCTCAGACGAACGCCCCCACGCACAGGCGCCCTCCCGGCCCTCTCCCTTCGAACGAGCCGAGTCGAGCTTCGCAGCTGGTCTAAATGGGTGCGCTCGCCCTTTTTGCCAGCTCGTCAACACTGCGCCGCCTTGAAGGCATAGCATATTCATACCGGACTCCTCCGTAAAGCTGAAAGCTTGGTACCAGGGAGCGAGATACAACCGGGGCACTCGTTCATGCATGGCATCGTCTAGACTTTTCCCGCTGGTCTTGTTCGACATACAGAGCACTTTACATACCGGCGCCGTGCTGAACACGGGTTGAGCGCAGCGCCCGCATAGTAACCTGCGCTATAGAGGTACCTTGTGCACGAGAACCTTCATACAAAGCCACGGTGAACAGTATCTTTACCCTTGAGTCGAGAGGGCCTTGCCGTGCTTGTCTGCGTGGTCGCCCAAGGTAGCGGCCAGCTCCTGGTCGCGCGAATGGCTGTTTGGGTTCTTGGGATTAGCACTTTGTCAACGCCATCGGCGGGGCCTTGAACCATGACAAGTCCTTAACGTCAAGGTGCCCGCGAAAGCTACGCGCCGTCTTGCGACGACATCATTCTCAAGCGAATCCTACTCTGCAGCTGCCCTTGTGACACCACCGTCTTGAACCCGTCGTTTGCGCGGATGCCACTCTTGTAACCGTTGAGGACCTGGGAAGCTATAGTGATTCAAGTGGAAGATCCGCTGTACTAGGGGGACGTTCTCCAGAATGCCGGCGTGTTGCGTCTCTTGCGTCGAGACGTCGCATGACGGGGGACACCACCTGTACTTGCTCGGCTGGTGGTGCATGCGGTGTCCAGAATATTTCTGGTGGTCTGCAGATTCCCGACGGATGCATGCCTCTTCTCATTGACATGTTCATGCAGAGGGTTCTGGCCGATCCGGTTCCGTGTCAAGATCACGGCAAGGAGCCACTTCGTCTAATTACAGAAGATTCCTCAATGGTCTGCATGACACCTTGTCGTGTCAATACCTCATCGTGTTGGCTCCGTCTGGGTCACGGAACAGCCCGCACAACATTCTGGATGTCTCTGTGTCCGTTACCTGTGTTTCTGGTCAGCATGATCTTGCCTGGCTGCTATCTATGAGCCATGATGTGTCAGGAGGTGCACTCAAAAGCCTGAACGAATGGGTCATTCCTCCATGACAGAATGGGCGCATATGTGGATACGGTTCGAACGAATCTGTTCCTAGCTATGATTCAGGAGGATCCTGCACAAGACTGCTTGCCCTGAGCTAAAAATCATGGGGGCGGGGGGGGGGGAGCAGGCTCAACTTTGTCAGCACAACCCCCACCATTCTGGCTGCAGAAATGATGCTTCGAAGCCTTCTGAAGACTCGAAGAAATTCAAAGAGCTCATGACCATGCTCAGAGTCGTCTTTGCTGGGCGCGGCTCCTTCTCGTGCTTCCCTAAGGAGTCGCCCATGAACTGCTCCAGGTACTCCATGCGGTCCGTAAACGGCATGTGGCCGGCCTAGCGTTTGCAGGTTCCGGGCTTTGGGGGTGGAAAGTTGCGATAGACGGCAGCCTTGGCGTGCCGGTCGACTGAGCCACCCATCAGCCTTTCGAGGTAGTCAACGCGGTCCTGTTCAAGGCTGCAACCGCTATGACACTGGGCCACCGAAACACTAAACCCTACGCCCTAAGGCCCAAACCCTAAACCCTAAACCCTGAACCCTAAACTCTGAACCCTGCCAGAAAGGTAGTCTCAGGGTGTGGTGTGGGATTCCAGCATTCTCTCAACTCACTGCACTGGGCTCCTGCACAGAGGAGTGCTGCTCACCTCAGCCGGAAACCCCGTGTGCCGGTAGACCGGCAACTGCGGGGGGTTCTCGGAATCACGATCCCTTCGTACGATGACATGATCAGTTCTCCATTTCAAGGCTCCCTTGATAGCTGAGCCTGGGCAGCCAAAAAAACACAAGGGCCCGTAAGCAAACGCCCAACTCGAAGGAGGAGGCAACATCATCTTGAGGACCTCACCATGCTGCGACAGCTTAGCGTGCAGGTCCTCAGACAGGGGTTTTAGAGAGTTGCAGGGCTTTCGATGTTCAGGCCTTTCAGGTTCTAGGGTAAGGGTAGAGCTTGAGGCCTTAGGGTTGTAGGGGGCATGGCTTCGGAGACTTAAGGTTCTTTGGGATTCCGGAAACTGTGTCCTGGATGGTGTGGTCTCGCGTGGCCTCCCAAGGCAGCAAACAAGATCCTTGTTAAGCATGATAATAATAGTAATGATAATAATAATAACAACAACAATTATAATAGTAATAATAATAAGAATACTAATAATAATAATAATAATAATAATAATAATAATAATAATAGATACTGACTGAAGGCCAGCCTTTTCATCCTCCAAGTGCTGGCGTAGAGCATGGTGGTTCCCCTGCACAGTGGCTGGTATTTCTAACCACCTTTGGGGGTTTCCGAACTGAGGGGTGCCTTATTACGGGCCTCTTTTTGGGGGATGGTGACGCTATTCCGGACCCCTTACTTTTGCCAACCCCCATGTCCTGAAAGCCGGTCTGCGTAAACCAAGATTAATTAAGGTGCTGCGATCGGGAAGTCTCAGGCACTTGCGGGACAACGTGGCGAAACCGTGACGCCACAGATCCGAGTTGACCGATGGTTGACTCTTCTTCTTCAGGGAACTGACGAAGGCTTTTGAACGTATGGAGATTTGTGCGAGCACGGCCGCCTTTCAGTAAAAAGGCTCCTACTCAACCTCCCACAGAGAAAGCTGCTTTGGGAAGCTATAGGCTTGCGATGGGCACGCTTCCCATCACCAGCCCTAAATCCCAGGCCATCCTTTGTGCCCGGTTGCCTGTGTCTTCGTGAACAACACCCGCCAATGAAGAAAGCTCTGCTTGTACCCATGTCTTTTGAACCGAAGCTGTTGCGACAGTCATGATTGCTTGTTGAGGTTCACTTGGCTAGAACGTTGCCCGGCCGTCCAACCAATTTGCCAGAGCCCTACACTTGGGATGTTCCCCCTTATAGGAACAGTCCTTAATAGGGATTAGAGCACCCCCTACTATAGTATAGGGGGAACATCCCAACCCCCTAATCCCCATGCAGCAAGCATCTTGTGCACTGGCCTCCAGTTCCTGGCCAGTTCGGGGCTTGAGTTTGGTGGGCTCAGCAGGCAGTTTTTACGATGCTACTGCTTAAGATCTAAGGCTAAGGGTTTGAGTGGTCTGAGGTTGGGGATCAAGTCACCGAAATTTGGGGCTTGCGAGTTCAAAGAGTAGGTAGGAGCACCGTTTCTCACGAGCATTGCTTCGGCGGCGGGTGGGGGGTATTTGTAGCCATACACGCGACTTCGCAGGCTGCATGTTGCCAAGCACTAAATCCAACCCCAAACCCTTTCGCATCAAAAGACATTCAGGAGGCCTCTTGCCAATTTGCGGCCGCCTAGCTTAAAAAACAAATCAAGCTCAGTGCCATCAAAGCACGTCAAGGCAACGGCCCCCCAGACAAATGTGGCCAGACCCTAAATCAACGAAACGTCCTAAGCATCCTGCCCGTCCTAACCATCCTAACTTTCCAACCGTATCTAGCCGTCCTAGCCGTCCTAGCCGTCCTAAGCGTCCTAAGCGTCCTAAACCCTACACGGCTGTTCTTGCAGGGCTCGGAGTTCCAGGTTCCAGGTTCAGGTGTAGCTTTCAAGGATCGCTCGCAGCTTCTGCTACACGCTCACGTGCCCAGGCAATGCCTTGTGCCGCCCGGCATGCCACGTGAAGTCTGGGCGGAGAAGGAGATGGGAGTCTTGGGAGTCTTGGGAATCTTGGGGCCTCAAGTTGCTAAGCCAGTTTGCAGACATGTCCGGTGTTCCCCGGAAAGGATGCCCTGACCAACACCCTTCTGAGCCAGAAGCTGCCGTCGAGTTCGGCGGTCTTCTGCTCCAGCTTGGCCAATTTCTGCAGCGGAAGTCACGTGAAGTCACGCCCACACCCAGACGCCAGACGTTCCATCCCACAGGCACCTCCACGTGCTTCAAGTGCGACGACTGGATCTCCTGGCAGAACCAGGAGATCCCACAAGCGCGACTCCCCGAGCCAACCTGAGCCAACCTGAGCCAACCTGAGCCAACCTGAGCCAACCTGAGCCATCCGCCGCTCTCTCCCCCCCTTCCTTGCGCGGTCCTCGATGTGAGGATGCCAAGCCGTCTCCAAGATGCGGAGCTGCAAGGGGGAGCCGAGGGAGAGAGCCCCACGAAAGCCACAAAAAAAGCAAAAGCCACAGAGAGGTTGACGGATGCCTGCTCCTTCATGGCGGCGATCTGCTCGTGCAGTACCGGCACATCTTGCTCCAAATCTGAAACCTGCCAGCTCGTCCGAGATGATTAGAAGCCTTTACCTGCCTGCCCCCCCGCCCTCCCCCCTTCCCCCCCCACCCTCCCCCCACACAGGCCTTCTGCACCTGCTGGTGGAAGGAGGTGTCCCGAAAGCGCATCTCTCGTTCCAGCTGGTTCTGCGCAGGGCTTCGAGTGCTGGGTCGAGCCGGCGTGCCGGGATGATGGCTAGTAACTAGTGAACTCCTCTTCCCTCCCTGAAGATCACCAAGAGCGAAAAACTATGTGAGTTTGGTTGGGGATACATTGGATACAGTAGCTTGGACAAACTTTGAAACGGTCCTTTGTTTCCAGCTGCTTGCCCTCCAGGCTGCTCACCTGCAATGCGTTGTGCCTCCTCTTCGGTAGGGTTTGGGGTTTAGGGTTTAGGGTTTAGGGTTTAGGGTTTAGGGTTTAGGGTTTAGGGTTTAGGGTTTAGGGTTTAGGGTTTAGGGTTTAGGGTTTAGGATTTAGGGTTTAGGGTTTAGGGTTGAGAACTTAGACGAACGTAGCAACTTTCAGACTGCTCGTAGAATCTCGGGTCTGGACAGCAGCCCCCTGGCTCAGCCCTGAGCAGATTCCACAGACTTCCGCAGGCCAACAGGGAATCTCTACAAAAGGAGGGCGGGGGGAGTTTGTCCGCGAGTGGGTGTGCCGGCAGGCCACGCTGCGATTCCTGATCCGACTTGAGAGCCATCACCTGGCATATGCAGCCCATCTTGAACTCAGGGCATGTTAAGAGGGCATCTTTAAGAGGGCATGCAAGAGACTGCAAAAAGAGCAAGAGAGCAAGAGAGGGGCCGCAAGATGTTGCAAGGCGAGTGCGGGATCGGGTGGCCTCTGCCCTCAGGGTATTCAGGTCTTTGATGCAGTTGGCGGTCTGCTCTCGGACGAGCCTTGGCTTCCGCCGCGACAGTTTTAGGCCACAACCAGGCAGGAGCAATCCCGGAGCCCTCCCCCTCCCCCTGGCCTAAGCTGCGTCTGGAACAGATCTGCCTCCTGCGCAAGGAGCACAACAAGGCCGAGGGTCACAACTTGTTGCAGGTTGCTGACTTCACAACATTTACGGCAATCAGCATGCCCATCGGCCCGTCCTGCGAAGTCGGCGACATGGGCGCGTCCATCGCGCCCCTGTCCACTTCACAGCATGAGTGACCAAAGCAGCCACCAGACTGTGTTCGCTCAGTCGCGGCTTTGCACATCAAGACCTTGCAAGTCGCCTCCCCGTGTGGGGGGCCCAGCGTTGTTCTCAAGCCACAGTGTCACAAGCAGGAATCACAAGCCGTCTCGAGCCAAAATGAGCGGAGGGTAGCAGTCATGAGTACTGGAGGCTTTTAGTAGGCTTCTTGATTCGCCAGTCCGCCGCCAGGAGTGCTCCCTTTTCCTTGCTGGACAACGCAGGTCATCCGCCGAGGCATGCTAGCGCCGAGACCCCTTGGTGTGGCGTGCACGCCACCGAACCTGGCAAGGGTGCGCTGAGCACTGCGCCGGCACGTTGCTTCGGCCTCTTCGAATCTTCGGCACGGCCCTGAAGACCCTCCATCAGGATTGCATGCCTTTTCTGGCCGTCAAGCTGAGTCAAGCTCCCAAACCCAAACCTCCAGTCCTTTGGAGTGCCCTGAACCGCCGGATGCACCTCCACCGCTTCTGGGTCTCGGCGCCACTCCGGCTCGCCAGTCCTTGGAGAACTACAGAGATGTCATGAGAAACCTTGGGGGAAACACCTCTCTGTTGAGAACTCGAGGGCTCGAGGGCGGTGCCAAACACCCATCTCCCGCAGCTTGTCCATGCGCCTCTCCTGCAGTTCCCACGGGTCTGCTTCAAGATCTCACTTCCGAAATGCAGGCCCGAAGAGATGATGAAAGAGTCCTCTTGCGGGGAAAAGCGAATTTTTTTGTCAAAATGAGAAAAAAATCCCCCTCGAAAAGATGCGAAAAAACAACCACAACTGCCCCAAACCCCAAAGCGTCCCTGCAAACCCCTTCATCCCCTTTCCTTTCTTCCTTGCGAGGCGCCTCCCCCTCCTTCCGGAGCATCAGCTCCAGCTTTCGGGCGCGCTTCACCCTCAGAGATTCGCGGGCCGATGCTTTTCCGTCTCTGAGAGGTGCGGCAAGACAAGCCGGTAAGTGCCAGTTAGCCTCCGGAACCTAACCTCCGAAACCATGGACTCTTCTTTAGAGCCCTGAGTGGGCTTCAACTTCCGAGTCCGCGACATCTCTTTTCGCTTGACCTCGCCCTTGTTCCAGATCCACTTCGGCGGTTCTCAGAGTTGCGGACAAGTTGAGGTCTCTTCTCTCTCATTACTTTGGGGTTCGGGAGGCTGGGCTTCACAAAGGGCTTCGGGCATGCATCCACGCGCATTGGGTCAAGACTGGTGCCAGAGGACATGAGGGCAACTTGGGCCCGAAATAAGAAGCTTTGGAGCTGCAGAGGGCAAGTTCCACGAACACCATTCGTAGTCTTACGGCTGCTACTTCCCTCGATGGAGCATCGTGGGGGAGCCCCAAGCCGAGCCAAGCGCTCACGTACTTCTCGCCATAGATCTCGGGAGTGAAGGGGTGATGCCTCATCCTGCAACAGAAACCGCGATGAGCGTGCCCGGAAGGAAAAGAGAAACACCTACACAAGTCTGCAGCCCCGACATGACGATGAATCTGAGGTTGCCGTTGGGATAACGACCTTGACACCAGCACAGGAGTCAATGCCAAGCTCTGCCCAACCCGGGACGCAACACGAGGCCCGGGCAGTTGCCCATCCTCCTGCAAAAGACTTACAAGAGTCAGGCAAGGCATCTCAGTGATGGGCAAGATAAGACGGGAGAGAATGCCCAGGTGCATCTGACTCCAGATGGAAACACCAAAAAAGGAGCGTTGAACGAATCCTCAACAAGCCCGAAACATGCTGAGGGTCGTCGACCTTGAGACATGGTACCCCAAAACCCCAAATCTCAAACCGCCCCCCTTCCCCTCTCACATTCCATCAAGTCATGTGCCTTCGCCAGCGTCGGATCTTCCTGAGAATCGGACGTGGTCTGATGGCATCTATTTCCAGTCGAGCATGAGCCGGGGAGGAAGCGCAGCATAACAACAAGGATTTCAAACCACCCATCAGACCAGCTGGGTCCCGGGATTCGGGGAGGCGGAGGGGGGGGGGGGGGGGGGGGGGGGGGGGGGGGGGGGGGGGGGGGGGGGGGGGGGGGGGGGGGGGGGGGGGGGGGGGGGAATGGTTGCAGAAGCCGAAATCACTGCGCTTGCCAGCGTTTCTGAAGGTCGTCGAGTTTCGGCTCTAGGAGCGCCAGTTCTCAAGCAGGCACAGCGGATAGCACACAACTTGAGAAGATCATGAGCAGCATGTCACGCCGAGGCTCTTGAAATACTCGTACATGAGCTGAGGCTTCCTCCTGGCAGGGTCTCAAGCCCGCCAACGGAGCTCTCCATAATGCCGAGTCCGCCGAAGCCGCCTCTGCACCTCGCTCTCTGGCATTTCGAAGTACCTGCTCCACCTCGGGATCCCCATGTCAAACAAGAGAGCAATATACGAACGGAGTTCTCAGAGAGGGAGTTAGAAGGGCCCCCCGGAACCCCGAAGTCCAACCCAAAGTTGGGCAGCCCGTGTGGCGAAGCCAAGCCCTGGGCATACCCTTCTCACCGGTCTTCGCCACGACCTGAAACACACAGCTTGTCGGTTCTCAGGTGCGCTTTGGGACCAGGGACTTGGTTAGCCAAACAGCTGATAACACCGACGATCCGGGAGTCGGGCGTAGGTGTTGTCGGAGAAGACCTTGTACTTGGTTTTGTTGTAGCGAGCGATGCTAAACCTCAGGCTGATGCTGTATCCCCATGAATATGCCCCGGCATGAGGCTCACTTATCCTGATGAAGGTGGGCATCCGGCTTTTGGTTTGGGCCGTCGAAAGCTGACACCGGCTCATCTGCAGACCTGGGTTTCCAACAGTTTCACAGCTCTGAACATGTGGATGCCTTCCCCAAGGATAGGCATGTGTGACATCCTCGGACAATGACAAATCGTCTTCTATCTCTTCCTCATCCTCGTCCTCGTCTTCTATATCCACATCCACTACCTGCAAAGTCACCCAGATCGGGGAACTCAACTTACACTGCACGACAAGGTGGCTGTATGGACTGCATCTATGTCCAGGCCTCTGCATCGTCTGCCTATCAAAACATGGCAAGTGAGTTAGACCAAGCTTGTGAAATAGAAGCATCCTTCGGTATGCTTTCTTTGCATAGATGTGCATACATGGCGAATGGCGAATGGTGCAACAAGCTAACCGCTAACCACAAGAACCTGCGCACCACCTCGCCTCCCCCCCCTCCCCCAATCAAAAGATAAGCCCCAAGTGCCAAGATCTGGCAACTTCCACAACCTCTGCCCCGCGTGCTTTCCTTACACACGCTGCCAAAAATCCTCCCTGAAACGTCTCACCTAGAGACAAAGATGTCACACATTGTCACCAACCACAACGAGCAATCCCATCGACCATAGATCCCATTCGCATCTTGAACTCCACACGCTTGACCCTCGAAGCCCGCTCTCGACCCAACCTCTGCTCGGAGGGCTCGTCCTCGCGCCTTTTGTGTTAAGGTCGGGTGCTGTGTAAAGTGGGCTTCTGAGCTGCCAGGTCATCGGGATGTCGGGTTTAGGGCTAGATGTTCAGGGCTTTGGTAACAGCGTGAGCGAGACCATCATCCATGCAATTGACGCAGCAGCGCTCAAATCCAATTTGGGTTGGTGTGCGCAATTGCTCGGATCTGGACTCTCGCAACATCTTCGAAACAAACAAAGACCCCCAAGCGTGGGCTTGCCGAGAGCTGCGCCCCGAGACAGGGCACACCAACCATGACAACAACTCCCATTCTAGCGCCGGATTCTACGGTCAAAACCTACCGGAACACAACCTGCCGCACCGGTTTAACACTCTTTGCTCACAAACTGCCGCGAATCCACCTGAGCGCCGGGCTGGGGAGAGCGCAGGCTTGCCACCCGCCAAGGCAAAGCCTCTTGTCATCTCGGGGGTTGAGGGATGGGCCTCTGGCCTGGGGAGGGGTTTGGTATGTTTGGTGGGGTTGGAAGACTCTTGAGGCGTTCGTGTGGCACCTTCCCCATGGCCCCGATGGTTTTTTTAACCCGACGTCGCCCTGAGTTTCTCGGGCCAACACAGCTGGCAAAGCCCGATGGGACCTTGGCAGCTTCCAGCTGAGAACGGGGGCTCAAGGTCGACGGCCTATGGGTCTGCTTACGATCGCGGGTTTCGAGTGTGAAACTTCGTGCGCATTGGGACCATATAAGTTGAGGGGAAGAAGTTGTTGGGTCTGCTTACATCTGCCCCCCTTGTACGGGCTTCTGGCCACCACCAGCGCCACTGCAGCCAGGGCCGCCAAGATGAAGCGCGGGCGCCGCGCCTGGCTCTCTGCCACTGCACACCACCCGACGGGAGCAGCTGAGGAGGATGCAAGGGAGTGCTTTTGGGGTTGGGTTGGGGAGAGGGGGGGGAGGGGAACGACCCAATCCGCAATGCCGTCATATGCCCATCAGCACATCCATCAGCACTGTTGCAGTTGCAGGCTGCCCGCCTCTAGCTTAGGCGACAGCATGGGTCCCGTTAGGAGAAATCGGCTTGAGCCAGATTTCCTACGCCGCGGCGTTTGCCAGAAACATCCAGAAACTGATGACTCATAACTGACTCATAACTTTGAGAACGCGCAGAGCAAAGGCTTCCCGACACCGTTGGACTCAACCGGCTGCTTAGGCGCCCCCTTTTTTGCCTGACCGCCAAACTGATCGCTTCAAGGATGAGCCCTTCAGCTGCTCTCGCGCATCTGCCAGGCGTAGGACATGTAGGACTACACATGCAGAGCACGGGACCCGGGACCGGTCGCAGCCCATAAAGACCATGCTCCCCCCTTCTTATGGGACCCCTTTTCTATGTTGCATACCTTTGAGTCCCTTTTGGCAGCATCCATCCGCGCAGTTCAACGGTAGCAGGGCCTCCTTGGCCCAGAACTCGCGCTGAGCCAACTTCTTCGGCACCTCGAAATGGCTGAGCACTTGGCTTCAGGGCGTCAAAGGCTCGTTCAAGCATAGCACTTCTCTTGCGGCACTTGCAGCTTCAATGATTAAGGCATAGTAGAACCATACTCACAATCTTCTGGAGGCGGGAGTCAAGCTACAAAAAGCCTCTTGCTCGCCCTGTCTCATGTTGGGAGTATGGGCTTCTGCAGTACCCGCCTCACGCGCGGCCTCAAATTCGGCTTGGCGGTCGTAAGGATACTCCTGGAGATTCGCCAACCCAAGTGCGTTAAGGTTTTTTGCAGGTCTTTACCAGGTTTTCGAAGGCAGCTGGAGTCCTGCACAAGCTTCTGCATCTGTGCGATGAGGATCTTCTTCGGGCTTTGGAATGCCCATCCTCAGATAGCGTTCATGAAAGTGCCACACGGAGCCTAAACCCTGGAAACCCTCCAACCCACACTCTGGCACGGTTGCCAGTCTAAAGGACACAGCAGGTGGAAAGTCACCTCAAGCCACCAACATAGCCGAGTGGCCATCGTGTGCATCAAACTTCGCCTTGCGCACGTCAGACGAAAGTGCCGAAGCCCTAGTCCTACACGCGAACGGCACACCTGTAGACCCTGAAGGCCTAACTTGGCAACATCAATAAGCCCCCCACCGAAACATTCACAATCCCTGCACCCTTACTGGGAAGAACGACGAAGTCCTGACAAACCCTGACAAACCCGTGCTTTTTCAACACACTGAATACATCTGAATGCTACAAGGTGGCCTTGAGGTCAAAGAAGGCCTCGCGAGAGATGATGACCTCCGGCAATCTGTTTAGGGTGGGAGGTTCGACCACAGACCCACCGAGCTTGCCCAGGTGGGTTCAGCCTTCAGATGTCCATAAAAAGCGCCCGAAGGGTACCCTAAATCCCACAGAAGACCTCATACACGACTCCTGAACTCCCTGCAAAGGCACCTTCAACGGCCTTTCCAAATTTTCGGAGGCCCCATTCGCAGCTTTCTTGTGGCGAAGGGCAAAACAAGGAGAGGCTGTGGGCCCGGCTCTTCTGCCCAGCAGGGCCTGGTGAAGCCCGTCGCTGTCGGGATCCATGTCACCTGTCATATCGGCTTCCCCTCAAAGAACCCGGCTTCGGAGGTATGAGGAAGACGATGGAAGCACCCAAAGCGGGTGGATACGGCTGGCTTAGCAATCGCGCCGCGGTGGCGAGGGCGTCGCAAGGAGAAGTTCGGAATCAAGCGCCCAGCCATGTAAAGCGGACTCCTGATGCCAACTAAGATGGAAAGAGTACTTCTGGACGCTTGCCGCCCTCTGTGCAAACCTGGCCTGAAACTTGCTCTGGTGGGGATGCACCAATACTTGTGCTCCTCGCATGCTCCAAGCAAGCTTCTACTGAGGCGACTGTGACGGGTCGCTGGATGCTCAAAGGTCTCCTCGCCGTAGCCGCTGCGAGTGATCATCAGGGTCTGCCTCGACAGAGGAACAGAGGAAGCCTTTGCCATGGCCCTTCGCTCTGCTTTGCTCCCTGTGGCGCAGGCTTGATGCCGGCTTCCATGCCGGTCCAGGCCCTAACCATGTCTGTCAGCTCGTAGTATCGAGGCTCAGTGATGTCCTACCATCCACAAGGAGCGCGTTGCCAACATCAAGCGGACATGGGATCCGGAAGTTTCACACTCTTGAAGCTCAGTCCTCCAAGCCTTCCACGATCTTCATGCACCTCCACTTGCTTTGCAAAACGGTGGAGATAGCCTTTGAGTGGAACAACCTGGCCAACATCAGCAGCTTAGCTTCATGGAGGTGAGCATGCTCGTGACTCTGACCACACACACACACGCCATGTCCTGGGCCTCGGTAGGAACTTCTTTCTGCGGTCATCCAGTCCATGTCGGTTCTTGTTGGTGGCGGACTTGCCCCACAAAGGGCTGTATCTCAGAGCCGGCGATGTGTTGGCAGAACTTGAAGGCTGAAACACAACGCAAAAGCCGTGTCAACGGTAGAGAAGCCGGGTGTTGAACATACTGCCCATACGGGCCTTGCCTACGCCTTTGTTCTTCCATAGCTTCTTACCTGTGCAGACACCAGGATCGCAGCTGCAAGGCCTCGAGCCGTACAAAACAGGAAGGATGAACCCAGCCTTTCTTCATATCGCTTCGACGCTTTCTGAAAATCGTAAAGGGCAGCTGCTGATACTTGTAGATCGTGTGCGCCTGGCTTGGGTAACGGAGGCGCATGGACGGTTGCACAATGGAATAGTCTTCGTCTGCACAAGGAACACAACATATCAAAGCGAAAAAAATGTCGTCGACACTGACAGTGCAAGGAAGAAAAGCACAATAGACACCTGGCCTGGTGAACGCAATAGTTGGCCGTTTCTCGGCTAAAAGTTCGAAACTGGAGCTCCTCCTCGCCTAGGGAGAAGTGGCTTACAGCAGCTTCATTGTAGCAAGAGGCGGAACGACTGTGTCCACATCTTGCCGCGGCGCGCGAGGGCCCAGTGCCGCCGTGAGCTGAAGTTCAATGTCTGCTACGAGTGGGCAACTGGCACTCTCTGAGGCACAAGCCAATCTTCTGCCCCCCCAGGTTTACAACCTGCGTCAAGCATAGCCGCCGTACTTCGCACCAACGACTGCCAGGGCCTAGAAGATTGAGCAATTTTAGCTGAGCTCGTAGCGGGGATTCTCTTCTGGGTCGGAATGGCACGCCGAGTCGTGAGTCGGGCCTTGACAATTGGCTGCTGCACTCGCATGACTTGGCGAGTCTGGTGCAGCCGCAAACAAGCGATCGTGCCCATTCTAGCAGCGTCTTGAACGACAAGCTCTTGGTTGCCCGCTCGAGCAGAAATCGCTAGTGCCGACAGGCAAAGGGCACCCACACATGGAACAAAGCCATCGCGATGCAACCTGGAGCGAGCAACTGGAACTGGGCTGGCTCTCACTCGACTCTCTTGCATACCCTGGTGCCTGGGGCCACTCTGCGTAGGCCTGGTGGAGCTCACTGGCTGAGGTGAGGTCGACAAGCCTGGCCAGTGCCAAGCATCCCAAATGGCATGTGCCCTCACTGCTTGAGGCAGGAAAGCCATGAGGCCCAAGGCCTAAATACGCTTTCTTCTGTTTGAAGGGAGCTGGTGCCATGTCCGTCTTCAACAGCAACAATAGCACTTACTGCGTGGTTGTCCAACGATGGCCGCCTCTTCCTTGCTGGCTCTGCTGACTTGAGTCTACATGAGTAAGCCCAACCTACTATACGCAAGGCCTCTTTGCAGAACTTAGAGAAATCCAATCACAACCTTTCTTAAACAGCAGAGATGGCTCTTCCTTCCTTACGATCATGTTGTTTCTTCTCCTGCTTGCTCTTTCTTTTTTCCCTCTCTTCCTTCCATCTTCGCCTCTCTCTACTCTCGGGCGACATCCAGCATGCCAACCAGCAGGGCAACACTCCAAAACTGGGCTGCGTGGGCCCCAAGGCCTTGTTTCTTGGGGCATGGGTGGGGGACGAGCCCCCGGGCCACGCCGGCCCCTGTATTCGGGGCCGCTCCTTGAAACCGAGTGGGGGCTACGACGCGTGGCTCAGCTTTCTCCGCCTTTTCCCCCCCCCAGTGCCTTAGTGCTTTCCTTAGTCGTGACCCTCACCCACTGAGCCCCGCGCCTTTCCCCTTTGTCTGGCTCTCTCTACCTCTCTCTGTTTCTTGCTCTCTCTCTCTTGCTTGCGCTCTTGCTCTGTTCTTCTTCTTCTGCTTCTTCTTATTCTTCTTCTTCTTCTTCTTCTTCTTCTTCTTCTTCTTCTTCTTCTTCTTCTTCTTCTTCTTCTTCTTCTTCTTCTTCTTCTTCTTCTTCTTCTTCTTCTTCTTCTTCTTCTTCTTCTTCTTCTTCTTCTTCTTCTTCTTCTTCTTCTTCTTCTTCTTCTTCTTCTTCTTCTTCTTCTTCTTCTTCTTCTTCTTCTTCTTCTTCTTCTTCTTCTTCTTCTTCTTGTTCTTCTTCTTTTTCTTCTTCTTCTTCTGTGCATTTTCCCCAAGTCACGTTTGGCTGTGCAAGCTCCGAAACTGACATGAACCATGCCACAGAAATGCGATTGCGCCTCCTATTGGCTGAACGAAACCAATGGCACCGCAGGCCTTGCAGAGATCTTTTTTTCGGCATGCAGGTGCAATGTGCACAGTTGTTGCAAACACAGCACAGGCTTCAGGTCATGATGCGGCACTTTTCGTTGCACAACATTACTATCAAACTGGCATAGCATGGGTCCCGCACACAAACTATTGCCGCGGCGGCAGCGGCAGCGGTGACGCCTAGGCGTCGCGCCTGCAAAGCATGTCTGCCCAGTAACACAGCTTGATCGACTTGCATCACATTGCTTCAAGTCTGACTCGGAACTGCTTGCTTGGATCTGTCGGTAGTGGAACATGACGCATCGCTTGCTCCTGGCCTCGAGCCTCCGCGATAGCATTGTTCCTTTCTAGGCGAAATCGGCTTGAGCCAGATTTCTTGCCCCAAGTTTTGGGGTTTTGAATGCGCGTTTTTTCTCCTCAAAGACGATAGGCCACAGGCAGAGCGGGTGTGGGGGCAGCAAGGGATCAATGGATAAGTTTCGCATCCTAGCCATGCTCTTCGAACCCCAGAAAAGTAGACTTGCTCTACACATCGGCAGCACGCTTTTTGCGCCCTTCAGTTTGGTCAAGACAAGATTAGATCTCACACGTGACCACTGTACTTGAGGGAAGCCTCCGAATTCATGTACAAGTAGCTTGAGCAAAGTTGAAATGTAAGAGTAGGGTGAACGCTGCACTTAGGACAAGGGCTCTGCTTGTCTGCAGGCTCAAATAAAGGGCATGCAGGCGGATGACTGGATTGCACCCACTGGCGCACCAAAGGCGAAAGCACACGGCCGCGTGATGCTGCGTGCGAAGATGTGCACCATTCAACTGGACACGGGAGACATTCCCACCTGTGCGTGAGTAAAAGCGGAGACGGCCACGACTTTGCAGGATTGGCAGAGCAAAGTCGCCCTCGGCCCTGCCGAGTGCCCGGAAACGCTCCACTGACGCCGTTGGCCACGGCAAAGGACAGCAAGCTGTGTCAGAGCCGTGAAAAGAAGAAGACAAAAGCCAGAACATGCGTGTCTCTTGCTCAGCTCAGAGGTCTGACTGTTCCCGTGACTCTGACTCAGCACCTACGAAAAAGGGGGTAAACAGGGTAAACAGAACATACATGGCGTGGTTGAAAAACTCCCACTAGGCTCGCCACAGTGTTGACACTATGCGCACTGGAAGCTCTTCGCCACCAGCTCATGCTTCTCAAATGCCTTCGGGGGACTCTTCGTCCTTCTTTGCCTGGACCTGCAGTGTCAGGCACTGTGAAATAAGAAGAACCACACGACGTGACGACGTGGATTCTGAGCTGCAGCTGGACAGGCTTCGAAGCTTTGGGCCCTAGAGGCAGCTGGTCATGCTGGTGGCTTCAGAGCACAGGCCAGTGGGTTGCCTTGCTCTCCTCGTTCTGGCCTGGCAGAGGGACCCTTGATGGGTTGAGGGTTTCGAGATGTTCCGAGGTTGCTTCCGAGGTTGCTGGTGCGGTTCCTGGCCTTCCAATTCCACGAATGTGCTTCCTCCGTGGTGCTTGGCTTCACGTGCCGCGCGCCGAGCTGCAGCCTTCTTTCGCCTCCAATTCTCGAGAATATTTCAGTACATCTCACTGAGTAAGCATGAAACGGTGTCATTACGTTGACATACACTACTGGGAAGAAGTTGTCAGAAGGCTGACGAAGTAGCCCTGCCTGGCCATGGCATGCTCATTCAAGATCTGCAGGACGGTGTCGTGGGAGCCGTTCAAGTTCCGCTTTCGGGCAAGCTGCCGCGCTGACCATCCAGACGCATCCTTCAGGCTTCCAGCACAGAGGTTGCTTCAGAGACTGGTCAACGTCACAAAGTCCTTCAGCTTGGTCTTGGCTTTAAAGTGAAGCAGGATCCGGACCATTTCCGCCTGAGGGAATCTCCAAAAAGCCCCCAAAGAAACATCGTGCACGTGAACCCTGCCGAGCAGACGCAAAGGCTTTTTCGCTGAGATTCAGGCATCGTTGTCCGCCACAGCAGCATGGAGTGGAAATCGAAAGTTAAAGAACCTAGGCCACTGCCGCAAACTCTGCCGCAACCAGCCGCCTCCCTCCGAACCTGACATCGACAAGACCCTAACCCTAAACCCTAAAGCGTAAACCCTACAGTAAACCCTAAACCCTAAGCTCCGTGCCAGCCGCTGCTGCTGTTCACATCCTTGAAGCGGTGTTTCCTCCGGACACTAACATCACAAAACACATGCGGGCTCCTGAATATATAAGGGGTTCCTACCATTTGGGGGGTCTATTATATTTTCGTAAATCCCCAAAAAAATCGAGTCGAAAAGAGTCAAGAGGAGGAAGTCTCAGGCGCAGGCTTCATGAACTTCAGCAAGCGTTCTCGGCGACCACGATCTTCCAAAGCCTCTCACTCCGCAGAAACATGTCGAAACGTCTCGGAAACTCTTCTGAAACTCTTCTGAAACTCTTCTGAAGCTCTTCTGAAGCTCTTAAAACTCGTGGAGCTCTTGGAGAGCCCTTGGAGAGTCGCAAGGCCACCCTTTTTGAGCCTCCTGGGCCTTGGTCCAAAATTCCTCTTCTTCCAAGAGCTCATCCGCCGCCTTCCTGACACAAAGCGAGGAAGCAGAGCAAAGATGAAGCAGAGAAGCGCGCAGCTGAGGTAAGGACCCCCCCCCCCCCCCCCCCCCCCCACCCCCACCGCGCCTGTTGGGCGGGATGGGCTCACCTGCATCGCTCTCTCCATCGGCGGCATCACACCCATCACCATCCGGACCATCCTCTGGCCACCAAGCAAGCCCCCCCCAAAAAAAAGCAAACAAAAGATGATTCAAGTCTTTCGGACTCCCAAACAGGTCTCTCTCCCCGGATCTCTCCGGCTTCAAGCAAAGGGAATCTCGCGCGGCCTCGTCGGAAAAAGAAGTAGCGCCAAAAACCTAGATGCTCCGGCTTCAGTGCACCGCTGCTGGTGCCCACAAAAGGACGGATTCACGAAACTGTGAGAAGCTGAATTGTGGCCTGCGGCATTGGGATTGCCTGTAGCTTGCAACAGGCTTGAGATGCCAGTGAGAATGGCCCTGAAAGTGCAGATTGGACCTCAACATGTCAAGACGGCTTGGCGTGCTGCGGTAGATTCCCTCGAAGGCTCCGTAGATCGTTTTTCCTGCACTGCAAAGAATTAAAGCGTGCTGACGCGGCTTCAACCCTTGAAACCCGACCTCGATGCAACCCCCCTTGGAGGTCAAGAGGGTAGGCCTTCGCATTATCCGACGCGCTCTCAGTCTGCCTGAAGTGCCAGAAAGGACACTGAGGCTCTCACAATCCTGAGTCTTCTTCGCAAAGGCCTGCAGAGGGATTCTCGTCGTGCCAATACGCTTCTGAGAACTGAGAACCTTTCTGAAGCCTCCAGCCGCAGCTTTCTCCTCCGCACCATTGTAAGAGTCAGCCATCTTGGACTGCGCTCGGACCAGATTTGCCCCAGCTGGCGGCAGCGAAGGGTCAGAAGGCCGGCGCAAAGGCAACAACAAACTGTGGAACCTCTCTCCCCCGGATCTCTCTTAGCCTCAAACGATATGCCTGAAGATTGTAGTTGTTGTACCCCGTTGTGCACCTGGCCTTTGACTCTCTTGAGGCAAGGGTCTGCGGAAACAGTACGGACCAACCTAGCCATGCAGTCATACCATGCCGGCGCAGGCTTTGCAAAAAAGTCTTCTTGTTCTACAAGTATCTGTTTTATGCATATATATATATATATAGACGTGTACACGTGTGCGTGTGTGTGTGTGTGACTGTATGAGGTTCCATAATGTATGATTGAATTTGTTTGGGCGCCGTTTGATTCTAGATGGCTATGTACGAGTGAGTTTTTTGTATGTGGGTGTATGTGTGTGCCTACTGAGTCATCTTCGTCACTGGAACAAGCTTGGCACTCATCCACACATCCTTTTCGCAAGGAAGGTCCAAAGCGCACAGGCTCACTGCCAGACATCCTGACACATCGACACGATGGACACAATGGCACGGCACAAGAACTACCTAGCAAGCAAATGACCTGCTCTAAGACTGTACGTTGGAGAAAACATGAAGATCATGAAGAAACCCTTTGGACTACGCAACTCTTTCGCAAACATGGGAAGCATCACAAGCATGAGCATTGGCCTTGTACATCATGATCTCCCAGTTGTCGTGACAGGACGCACTGCTTGCGGGCATCACGGGAGGCTCCAAGCAGGGTCTGAAACCAGCAGCACCTCCACAGGAGCTCAAGAATCCAGAGTTTCCTTCAACAAATACACTGGCACATACTGCGAGACTGAGGCACCCATTTTGTTGAGCGCCGTGATGGGATCTCTCGCTAAGCATGCGTCATAAAGTTCGTACTGGACGTGGGGCAGATTCCTGTCACGAGAGGAGCATTCTCAACGAGGAAATTGCAAAATAGTCACCGGCATTGCAAGAAAGAAAAAACATGAATCATTCTTCAAAGTCTTCGAAAGTTCGGCCTGGGAGAGGATACGATCCAGTCTCCACTGTATTCTTGCCCATATCGCAGTCGAGCGTAAACTGGCCATGGCGGAAACAGAAACGAAGCCCAGTTTTGTGCACGGGTACACTCAAACAACATCCACTATATGCTTGCCTCTGTGACTGTGGCTGTTCACTGAGAAGTCCGCTGCTTCTGTCTTCGCCTCAGGATGCACCAGTTTGGGGGGGGTCCTAGGAGTGGGGGAGGGTGAACGCAAGAGGCCCGCTCCAGGTCGTCCCAAAGGCTTCGAAGCCAAGCGCCTGTGCCGCCTCCGGTCCTTACGGATGGAGCGAAACTGAACGAACCTGGGGTAAACATGGCAAGTTCTGAGAAAAGGAGCTGAAAAGTACTTTGCAAGTAATGAACAAGAAGGACGATGAGCTCTCCACATCATGGCGGCCTGCACCGTCGGCCTTCACCGGCAGGATGCTGCGATTCGGGAAGTTGTGGGCTGAGCTTGCTGAGGGGCCCCCAGGGTTTTAAGGTTTTAAATACCTTTAAGGTGTGCTGCCACTGTTTTGGGATGGTTCTGGCGGTCGGGTTCAGGCGCACACATGCCCAAAGCACAGCCGTCCAAGCGTTCCTGCTCGTCCTCCACTGCGCCCACTTCACAAGGATCCCCCAAGCTCCCGGCCCACCGATGAAGCCATAGAGAGCCCTCAGCCCATAGAAGTCGGCCTCTGGGATCGGTGCCTAAAACTCCAAAACCCCTTTTGGGGTTTCACAACAAGAACCGGAGAGCTGCCAAAGAATGGCACCTCCCGGAGAAGCTCCAGGCGATCCACCCTGGAAAGGCCTGGGAGGTCTTGTGCATGTCTCGTGTATGTATGTGCACATACACCCTTTCTTTGCCGTTTTGTAGCTGTTTTGACGCGTAGGATAAGTATGTGTGTAAATATCTACATGTATATACATATATACATATATACATATATACATATATACATATATACATATATACATATATACATATATACATATATACATATATACATATATACATATATATGCTTATATCTTGGACATGAACCTGTTTGCGGGCTGAATGTCAGCAGCGCAAAACCTCTCAAAAGTGCTCACTCACATCATCCGCGCAATCTTGGCAATCTTGGCAAACTATATAATAGGTCCAAAGCGCCAATTGGAAGAGTTCCATCACGCAAATAGTTCAGGATGTGATGAAATTGCCTGGCGCAGGAAAACAAAACTTTCTTCGAAGCTGCGCACGTTTGTGTTGCTGCACTTCGGCAAGCCCAAGCATGCCAGATACCCGAATAGACCTGTAGCCCGCCTTCCATCTCGATCGATGAAATAGCAACCATCGGCATCACGAAGAACCTGACTTCTTGCGCGAGTAAGAACCTAGAAACAACACCCAATTCTGACGCAGCGGCAGGATGCTTGCCACTGAACATGAGGCCCAACCTGGCTCCATGCCACGCTGCACGGCCAGCAGCGAAAGAGGCTTCAACAGGGCTTCGGCATGGAATCGGGTTCTGCCCTCAAGGTTGCCAACGTTGTTGTCAGCCGTTGTCCACCCTAAAAAACGGCCACTGAAACAACATGAGCACAAGAAGAGATCACAAAAAGAAACAGGGGCCGCACGATGTTTAAGTGAACGATCGAGGGGAACTCCATAAGCGCCTCAGACGAGCAAAGGTGTCCCCAGAAACAAGGATCTCGGGCTGCGAAACTATGGGTCCGGCTTCATGGTTGCTGCCAGAAGTCATGTAGAGAAGCCGCCTTTCAACTTCTGGTGTTGCAGCCCTTTTTGTCATGATTGCGCTGGTTGACTTACAAACTCACACAAGCAAGTTTCAGCAGCAGGCCTTCGCTAATGCCTGGCATGACAAGAACGACTTGAATCTGTTTCTGCTACAGCGTCATGCCACGACTGCCCAACCTTCAAAGGCTGCCCAGAGTGGTCTTCGGCCTTCACTGCCCGGCTAGCCGATGCAGTGCCGAAAATGAAAGTTCCCTGCAATCCATTGACATTGCTTCTGGGCTCCGAAGCCTCTGGCCATGCGCGGGCCGTCTTAGCTTCGCCATTGCCGACGTGCGCAACATGCTAGCTACGAATTGTTTTTGGCCATGAATTTACGATTGATAGACCCTAATGAGCGGCTAAAAGTCTTCAGCATTCTTCAGCTGGGCATCTGGTCCATGGAACTTGTCTCCGACGTATCGGTCTCGCTATCTTTTTTCTCGTGCTGGCAAGCAACCCCATCACTTGCTGACATGCGGGTTCGCCTTCTGCACCATCACACTTTTCACGCTACTAGTAGCCGAACAAGGGCATGGCTTTCTCCAATATGTACAACTGCCCTACGATGTCAATCCGGAACTACCTCCACCAATGCATTTGATTGAGGACTGGAAGCAAAGCAAACAACTGGATCATGGCATCGCTGGGGAAGTCCATGTAAAGGATCCCAAGAGGGCTTTTGTCAACGCAAGGTGCAATTGCAGCAGCGATGCGCTGATTGATGTCGTTTGCATCTGATGTATAGACTGCCGAGGAATGTTGGTACCGCTGAGATCGTTCAAGTACAGGCATCCATTTGTTGATTGGCTCTTTTGCATCAGGCTCAAGCTCATCACCTGGTTCCAGAATTTTCGGTATGCTGTAAAAGTCCGAAGACATTGTGCAACGTAGCCTCAAAACTAACAGGTGGAACAACCTTGCACATGCTTCTGCACAGAACCATGTATTCTGATCAGCACTTTGTGGTTCCGAACAGCCCTGGGCCCTGCCGGGGTTGCGGTTCGCTGGAAAGCCCTGTCCAAAAGCAGGCGTTTTCATTCTGAAAACAGCAGCCTGGGTATTCATAGTTTTACACTGCCAGCCAGAACCGTCGCCAGGCAGCACATGTCGCCAAATCGACACTTGCGGCCCACGAAGCGAAACACTCAACTTCAGGGACCCTCAGCGTAGGATGGGGGGAAAAGGCTGCACGCCGGACACCCTTCTCTGCAAAGGAAGAGTTTCAGATTTGCGGCATGTGTATGCATACAGTGTGTTCGTGAATATACGAGAGTCATAAGAGAGGCAACCAATTCGGTAGGTGGGCGCTTTAGTTAGCAGAACCCTTGCCCATTTTGGGTGATGATACCACCATCACCAACTATATCACTACTACTACCCCATTGCCAATACCAGTATAGGAATAACCGATTACCTCATCCATATAAGAGGAATATTCCTATACTCCCTAACACTTCCCCCAAACATCATCACTACTTCCCCATTACCAAGACCAGTATAGGAATAAGAAATTACCCCATCCATGTTCCCTAAGGTGGTATTATCATCCCAAAGTGGGCAAAGGTTCTCTCATAGATTTTAGTAGGTTTGGTGGAAAGGCGTGAGCATCAAGAGAGGAAAGTTCATGTCCAGGTACTGTTAGTGTGTTAAAACTATCAGCACAGCAGCAGCCATGACCATTGCAGTCTTTTTGAAGGCTGATGGCAAACATCGAAGGTCAGCTGCCCGCAGGATCGCCCAATCTATGGCTATTCTTTCCATCATCTCCATGAGTTGGTCGCTTTTGCCACTGAACTCCTTGACGGCGGCCTCATTTCGGTCACTTTTGGCACTGAGCTCCTTGAGCTCGTCCTTGACGGCACGGATCTCCGCGTAGGTGTTGCGATGTTCGGTCCAAATGGCATAGACTGGAACTGCAGAAAGGCATGTGATCGCTTGGGATAGAGATTTCCTTGCACGGGAACGTCGGTTCCAGTACTAAAGCTTGTACTACCAATCAACACGGGAAAGATTGTTCCAGTACTAAGCTTGTACTACAAATCAACGAAAGCCCAGCCGGCTCACGGGAACGTCAATTCAAGTACTAAGCTTGTACTACAAATCAACGAAAACCCAGCGGGCTCACGGGAAAGTCGGTTCCAGTACGAACTTGTACTACAAATCAACGAAAACCCAGCCGGCTCACTGGAAAGTCGGTTCCACTACTAAGCTTGTACTACAAATCAACGAAAACCCAGCCGGCTCACTGGAATGTCGGTTCCAGTACTAAGCTTGTACTACAAATCAAACAAAACCCAGCCGGCTCACGGGAAAGTCGGTTCCACCACTAAGCTTGTACTACAAATCAACGAAAACCCAGCCGGCTGACGGGAACGTCGGTTCCAGTGCTGAGCTTGTACTACAAATCAACGAAAACCCGGCAGGCTCACGGGAAAGTCGGCTGCAGTACTAAGTTTGTACTACATCAGGTATCATCAGGTACGCATTGCTGCAGAACCGATAGGCGCCAGTCCTGAAGCAATCCCATAGATCATTCCTGCAGAACCGTTAGGGGCCAACCCTATTCCACGCGGCATTCGGGACGTACTAGAGGTTTGGACCGCTACTCTTGACGAACAGGTGGCTAAGAGCAGTGATCATCTTGCTGATCTTCCCATGGCTCGTGATCCACCGCATCGGCGACGAAAGGCGCAGGTGGTGTTTACAAGCCAACATTTTACAGCACTTTTGCGCGCTGGACCGATCCAAGCTAAGCAGCAGTCAACTGGACAAGCGCTGTCGAGCTACAGCACATTTGGCCCAAAGACAATCTTGAAAGACAGGTTTACGCGCGCTTGGCAAGCTTCCAGAACGTTCAGCGGTTGGCAGAGTATAAGGTTGCAAAGAAAACTCTTCACATTGACCAACAGTATCGGTCCTTTGCAAAGCAGTTCTGCAGGAAGGCGTTTTCTTGGTCTCCGGTGGAGCGCGCCAGCAGCAACAGGGTGAACAACAAGGTGGACACCTTCGAGTGCGACCTCTACATGAGATGTCCTTCCGCTAGTCAACAACAGTCAGTCATGCGTCATGCGTTTCGCGTTGACAGACTCAGATCGATAACAAAACATGCAAACCGGTCCCACTGGGACCAGCAGACATTCGGTGTCCTGCTCGCAGAGGTTGCACAGACACCGCAAAGCACGCGCACAAAGTTATGGCAACTCGAGCGTGCTCTACACTTTGGCCCGCCAGAATTGAAGAGCTCAACGTGTTGCATCGTTTGCATCAGTGGTGCACTGCACTCTTCGAAGATGCAGTGCATGCTGCTGGGTTTTCGTTGGTACTACAAGCTTAATACTGGAGCCGACTTTCCCGTGAGCCCGCTGGGTTTTCGTTGATTTGTAGTACAAGCTTAAGTACTGGAACCGACGTTCCCGTCAGCCGGCTGGGTTTTCGTTGATTTGTAGTACAAGCTCAGCACTGGAACCGACTTTCCCGTGAGCCGGCTGGGTTTTCGTTGATTTGTAGTACAAGCTTAGTAGTGGAACCGACATTCCAGTGAGCCGGCTGGGTTTTTGTTGATTTGTAACACAAACTTAGGACTATGGTCCGCCTGGGGGCCGCCCTACGCGCGCGCGCGCGCTTCGCGCGCTTCGCGCGCCTCGCGGGCCTCGCGGGCTTCGCGCGCTTCGCGTGACACGCGCGCTTCGCTCGCTCCGCGGGCTTCGCGCGCTTCGCGTGCTTCGCGCGCCTCGCACGCTTCGCGCGCTTCGCGCGCTTCGCGCGACTCGCGCGCTTCGCGCGCTTCGCGTGCTTCGCGCGCCTCGCACGCTTCGCGCGCCTCGCGCGCTTCGCGCGCTTCGCGCGCTTCGCGCGCCTCGCGCGCCTCGCGCGCCTCGCGCGCCTCGCGCGCTTCGCGCGCTTCGCGGGCTTCGCGGGCTTTTTTCGCGCCGCTTCGCGCCGCCTCGCCGCGCTTTTTTCGCGCGCCTCGGCCGCTTTCGCGCGCCTCGCGCGCTTAGCGCGCACTCGCCGCCTGTTTGCGCGACGATTCGCGCGCTTCGCGCGCTTTCGAGGGCTTCGCGCGCTTCGAGGGATTTTTTTCGCGCGCTTTCTTCGCGCGCCCTTCGCGCCTCGAGGGCTCGCAGCCGGCCTTCGACACCCTCGTAGTAATACAATACTATTAGTAATGGTACTAGGAGTAGTCGTCGTCGTCGTAGTCGTAGTCGTAGTATAAGATAAGTAGTAGTAGTAGTAGTAGTAGTAGTAGTAGTAGTAGTAGTAGTAGTAGTAGTAGTAGTAGTAGTAGTAGTAGAAGTAGTAGTAGTTAGTAGTAGTAGTAGTAGTAGTAGTAGTAGTAGTAGTAGTAGTAGTAGTAGTAGTAGTAGTAGTAGTAGTAGTAGTAGTAGTAGTATTAGTAGTAGTAGTAGTAGTAGTAGTAGTAGTAGTAGTAGTAGTAGTAGTAGTAGTAGTAGTAGTAGTAGTAGTAGTAGTAGTAGTAGTAGTAGTAGTAGTAGTAGTAGTAAGTAGTAGTAGTAGTAGTAGTAGTAGTAGTAGTAGTAGTAGTAGTAGTAGTAGTAGTAGTAGTAGTAGTAGTAGTAGTAGTAGTAGTAGTAGTAAAGCCCCCCCTTGAATTCGCGCGCTTCGCGCGCTTCGCGCCTCGCGGGCTTCGCAGGCTTCAACACTCCTAGTAATAAATACTATTAGTAATGGTAGTAGGAGTAGTCGTCGTCGTCGTAGTCGTAGTCGTAGTATAAATAGTAGTAGTAGTAGTAGTAGTAGTAGTAGTAGTAGTAGTAGTAGTAGTAGTAGTAGTAGTAGTAGTAGTAGTAGTAGTAGTAGTAGTAGTAGTAGTACTAGTACTAGTACCTATACTAGTAGTACTGTACTAGTACTAGTACTGAGTACTAGTATAGTCCTAGGACAGTATAGTATAGTACTTAGTACTGTACTAGTAATAGTACTAGTACTAGTTACTTAGTACTAGTA